CTGTGCTGTCATCACCATCTTTTACTGCATTCAGTGATTGTGTTACAAGTGAGGCCAAGTAGACTTACTCCCTAATGTTAAATTTGGGGGTTATCATTCTGATCCCCTTGATGCAAAATACCTTTGGTACAGAAAGTGGTAGCATAGACAGCTAGAAATCTGTTTAAAAGACATGCAGAAGGGAAATTTTACTGAGCTTTGAAGGGTAAATTATTATTTGTTTACAGAGGAAAGTAAATTCTTTACACTGTAATGAAATATAGGAGACTTCAACACAAATGCTAGTCACAGTTTTAAAAGAAGTATTAAGTATGTGTAGAAAAGAAATACTGTAAAGGCAAATTAATTTGGAATGCCTGATGCAGAAAAAAACATATGGAAGCTTTTGAGTTTGTATTTCCACAGAACAGTGTTTATCTGTGCAGAAGGTAATTTGATACTACAGTGTCTGATAGTTTTGATTACTTTCTTTCTCTTTCAGGTAGATTTACTAAGAGGAAAGTTGAGTACCAAGATTGATTTAGCTGATTGAATTGGTGGATTTTCTTGATGCCTCAGAGTTTTCTTATTAGCATGGGAGTGACTGAGATTGGTACTTAGCATATGACAGAGGTAATATTACTCACTAAATGCTACTTTTAAATATGCCAGGTATAAAATTGGTGGAAAAGCAGGATTGAATAGCTGCAGGGGAAAAGTAATGATATTGAAAGTTTTGAGGATAATTTGGACTTGGATTCTTCTATTCCATTTTGCAAGAAGTATATATGTTACAGTAGCATCATTAATGCTAATGCAGAATAGAATCTTGCATGCCATTAAGTACGAGTGTCTTTTACACACATCATAGTGTGATTTAGAGACTTGCAATTGTGTGGTATTTGTGGTTAACTTTCTTAGCCTCAGTGAGGGTGAAATACTTAGAAGAGAGGAAGGATAAATTTGTGGTTTAAGTATGAAATTGGAAAATAGGAGATCTGTTTCTGATTTGATGACAGATAATTTGATCTGTGGGAAAATACTTCTGTTCCTTAATTTCTGCTTATGTGAATGGGAGAGTTACAAAAAGTATTTCCTGATTCTGCTGAATAGGGGACTTAATTCATTAATATTTGTAATGTTTTAAGACCAGGAGGAGGAAGTTAACATCAAAAAAGTGGACTTGGAAGAAGTTACTCATTTAATGCCTCTTTCAATAGTTAAATGGCAGTAGATTGCCCTCACAGAAACGTGTTTTACTGGTGTGATTATGTCCAATTCATAGGTATGTGTAAAGATGAAGACAAATTTATAGTTGTTTCTGTGGGATTTCCGTCATATCTGCCATATTTTATCATGTACCATCTCTACCATTATCTGCCAGCCTGGCGTATCTGCCACTTGTACCTTTTCAGCTCTTTTTTTTTCTTAATATTGCCTGTCCAGTTGATACCAGGGAGTATTCCAGAAACTAGGGTTTTTTTTTTCTGTTGTTTTTTTCCCCACAGGAATGGTTGTAGCCATAAAATGTATATTACAAATCTGTATTTAGCTCTGCAGCTCAAGTTTTAAATACTAAGACCACTGGGTGCAGTCTACTGCAAGTGAAGTAAAAGTATTACTGTTAAAGAGGAACAGATCCCATGCATGCACAAAAGGTTTATTTCACTGGAGAAAACAAGTAAGCTTCATTTCAACAAAACTGGTGTCCTGTTCTTTTCATGTTTTTTTGGTTGATGATACTTGTATGAACAGTTGCATACGTTGCTCATGATATTGATTCTTTAATGGAGTTTAGCACTGCTCTGTATTGTTCTTTTGGAAAAATAAGTGTACTGTGCCGAGTGGTATGTGGAACTGAGCAGTATGTTGAACACATTCCTGTGTAACTGTACTGTGCCAGGCATCGCTCTGTCACACTCCCCATCCCAGAAGCAGCACTTGTCATCACAATCTTTATGTTCCTGAAGCAGAATTGGTAATCCCCACTCTTTAGAGCACTTCTTCACTGCTACCTTATCACCAAAATTCAGTTTTGTGTGTAGTCAGATGTGCCTTTATCACTTACAGGGCAGGATACAGCAATAGAATATATACCTAGGGCTTTTTGCCCTGGGAAATTCTAGATAATTTGGAACCTAATGGACTCTCCTAGTGACACAGGCAACTGCAAGTGTTTTAAACTCTTCCTCTGCTCTCAACACAGAATATCTTGACAAGCTTAAGGTCTTGCTTTTCATTGAAGGGTCTCAACACAAGCTAAATATATCCATGAGACTGAAAGTCAGAGATGGCTAATGGTATGGCTTCTTTGGCACAAGGTATTATTGAAGGGATGGAGAAGAGTAAATAAGCATGGTGGAAAGGATCACTATGCTTGCATAAAATAATCAACTTTTCAGGCAAAATTTACTTTCCTACTTGCAATTGCTGCATGCTTTTTGATTTTCATACACAAGGGTACAGAATTGTTCAAAATACTGTCTTCCTCTGTGTTTCTGCTTCAATGTTGCTAATTTGCAGCTAAAAACCTGACTATCATGTCACACGCAACCAGTTGTCCCATCAGTCTTTGAAAAAGCTTTCTTGGGTGCTTGTTTTTTTGCCCATGCTCCACTCCATCCTCAGCTTGAGAGCTGGGTACGTGGTAGTCATTCATCCAAGCGCTTGATGCGCAGCTGCTAGACTTTTATTACTAATGTCTTGCTGAACATCAGCTCAGCCCATGTCGTGGCTTCAACATGTGCCAGGTTTTCATACTGCTTCACAAAATGTAAGGCACAAAAGTGCTTCTAGTAGTATTTCCAACAACTTCTCCATCTCTGTCTTCTATATGTTACCTTGATACATACCCCCACAACGCCGGGGTATGGAAGACAGCTTTGTGCACCTTTAACTCGTCAAGAGATTTGGTTCTTTGCCAGTTTACTCAGTAATCCTTGTAGTGTCCTGGGTATGAGAAACTACCTCATTAAGAAAACACCACTAGCATTGATAAACATTGTTAAAATAACTGATTTCAGAAACGACTGGATGTTCAATCCCATAGATGAGCATGGAAGTGCAATATGTGATCTTTCAATGGCTGCTTAACTGATTTTGCAGGCTGATGTTCCAAAATAAATTGTAAAGGCAGAAGTTAACCAAGAGCAGACAATCATAATTGGGGTAGGCACCGCATCTAACCAGTGCACAAGTATTAATGTACAAGAGTGCCAAACAGGCTGCTGAGGAAATCTTAAATACTGAGTGCAGCCTGGAGAGATTAAACAATCTTACTATCATTTATAAGTGTGGATGTTTTAAAGGAGCAGTGTATGCTTTAAAGTTGCTGTGTACATAAGGACCACTGCAGCTTTGTGAAAGGGATTGATTTTATGACATGTCCTTTTGGACATCAGAGGGAGAGTGTCAGGTTGCCTTAGACCTTAATTCACAGTAACGTTCAAATGTTGGTTTTGGCACCTGTCCTGAGCTTGGCTGTGGTATAATTTATGGACACTTTTTTTTCCTGCAAGCTGGGGAGATGCAGGCAGGTGCTGTTATCAGAAAGAAACCCCTGTGGTTATCACAGACAGGATTTCTCCCCTTTTGCCCATAAAATCTTGACAGTGATTTCATTCTGCATGGTCTGTTATCCCACATCACACTCACCAGTAGGAAAAAAGTGATTAATCAGTCAGGAGCTGGAAATTGGCTCTGTATTTCAGCAGGAATCTAACCTGAGCCAGCTGCTCTCTTGTCTTTCCCAAATGCCACTTTGTGGTTGTCTTCACTGTTTGGCTATCAGCTTTTCATGTGAATGAAGGGAACCAGGTTTGGTCCTTGATGCAAACCTCTGAGGGGGCTTGCTTGTTATCTAAGCATAGGTAATGAGCACCTTGCAGAATCAGCACCTTGGAGCTCTTAACAGTTGTTTTTCTCTCTGAAAAGTGCTTGGTTGAGGCTGTGGACAGAAAGCTTGGGGAATGCATGGTTCTGAAAAGGTGACAGAGGGGAAGGAGAATTGAAGGGGTCTTTCTGCTGCAGAAAGTGGTAAAACCACTCTGGGAAAGGCTGTGATTTTCAAAAGCTTGCTGGCACTATTTGTATCTTGTGCAAAAAGTAGTTCCCTTTGAGTTGTGTTACTTGAATTATCCGTGAAGCATTTTGAAGGTGGAAAATGCTCTGTACAGAACTACCAGCTCAAATCTAAAGCCTGAAGTTATGTTTGGCATCCAGATGCTCCCTAAAGGTTTTGGCTTTGCGCTACAGCACAACCCAGAAGATCTTTGTTTTCTGCTTCGAAGCTGGAGCTAGACCCTTGTAAGTACAGCTGGTGAGCTTTAGCCTGGATACAGGCACAAATCAAATGCAGTGCTAGTTCAAGTTGTGGCCCCATCTGTCTGTAATCAGAGGGATCTCAAAGCAGTTCTGACACTAAATTGGTGACAGGATGTTGTTAGAAGTGTCCCTCAGTAAGTCCCGAGAGCTGTAGTTCATAGAAATAAAACAAAGGTAACTGCTGTATGTTCGCATGTTGAGTACAGATGTGGTTGTCACTGTTGGCAGCAGTGTGAGGGTGTCGTTACACGCTGCGTATAGGTCATGTTTAAACTTGTTGGTTCTTTCTTTTGGACAGAGGCTTGGGACACCTTTTGTCACACATCTGAGAGCTATTAATAGACGTGTTTGAGCCAGAAAAAACACATACACCTTGTAATTATTTCGAAAAGCTTTTTTCTGGGGGAAGTTTGGTTGGCACAGGAAAGCCAAATCTTAATGCTCTTGGCTTTGGTTGTGGACTGCTCGCAGAGAGCAGTGGGTGGCCGCCCTACTTGACGAGAAGTCCCAGCTCGAACGCTTATAAGAACAAAGCCCACCCATCTTCGTGTCTTCAGACCGCAGGTCTGCTTCGCCCGGCCAGCGTCGGCAGGAGCGGGGGCTCATCCCCACCACCTCCTGCGCCGGCAGCTCTGGGTGACCCTCAGCGGGAAGGCGGGAGGCTCGACCGCGGGCGCCTCTGCTGGGGGCGGCCGGTGCTGCCGCTCCCCGTGCGGCGCCTCCTCCGCCCGGCAGCGCGGCGGGCGGGCAGAGGGACGGGAGCTCGCCGCCGCCGCCGCCGCTTCGGAGCTGTGGCAGCGCAGCCGGACCCCGCGGCCCGCCTTGAGGGCGGCGGTGGGGAGCGTCTCCGCTACCGGCCATGGAGCTCTCTCTGCGGCTGCTCCTGGCATCCTGCCTCTCCCTGGGGGTGGCCGGCGAGTTTGACAGGAGGTAGGCGCCGGCTTCCGCGGGCGCTGGTCGGGGCTGGACGCGCACTTGGTGCTGCTTCGGGCAGGTTGGAGCCCTGCGGGGCGAGCGGAGGGAGCCCGGGATCACCCCCGGCCGGGAGAGGGGCGCCGTCGGTAGTAACGTCCCGCGGGCTCCTGACCGCCTCCACACAGCCGGGGCGCGAAATGGCGGCGGGGGGCTCGCTACACGTCCCGGGACCCCCGTCCCTCCGTCCGGCCCAGGAGCGGTGCCCGCGGCGCGGCCGGTTGTCTGAGGGGGCCCAGCCGCCCGGCCCCATCCCCGTGACCGGCCGCAGGTGGAGGCGCGGGTCCGGCGGCACCCGGAGCCTCTCCCGGGGCTCCCTGGCGGGTTGTTTCGGCCCGCGCCCCCCGGCCGGTCCCCGCGCATTACTCGGCAGCCCAAGTAGGGGCTGAGGTACGGAGCGTTTGTTAACTCCGGTGGGGTCGCGTCCTGCAAGGATTAAAACCGAAGCACTTTGCGTGCTGTGAAAATAAAATCAGTTTATTGACGCCTCGAGGCACTGAAACAGAGTACGGTGAAGATCACAACTCAAGTTTTAACATGAAGAGAGGTGAAAATGGATGCTCGCAGAGCGGGTGCCTCATGGGTCGTGCCGAGCGTGTCAGGTGTAGGGAGCGGCTGCGAGGCGGGCCGGGGAGCTAGCGGGCGAACCCCGCATGGTGCTGCGGGGAACCGGCGCGGCGGTTCTGTCTGTGTGCGGACAGATCGGGCAGCGAGAGCCCCCCTCCAAGGATTCCCTTTGGGCTTTGTTCAAAGGCAGTGGGTTTCAGCTTGTCGTTAAAAAACATTAACGATTTATGTCAATAGTTTGTAATTGCTTGGGACTGTGGTGTCTTTTCCTTGGAACAAGGGAAGACTCGGCTCTTCTGTTGTATTTAGTTTCTGTTCAACAGTTCAGGAAACTTTTGTTTTGATTTTTTTTCCCCTTTACTGTTTCAGTGAGAAAAATTGGCCGTATGTTGCGAAATAAACCAATGCTGAAACTTTATTCCAGTTTACAAATCCTTTCAGACTTCTGGAATTATTCAATACCAGCCTGGGAGCGGCAGCAGTGAGCACACTGCAGAGCATGTCGGTGATTCCAGGCTTTTTCTCTTGCCTACCGTCGTTTACCTTTTCTACACTAAACAAACCATTAACAATAGAAATATCATATGCTCAGCTTAAAGCAGTTTCTATTTTGTTCTGTTTTGTTGGGGTTTTTAAAGTTTTATATGTCTCCATGCGAGAGAGGTTTTTGCTGGTGTTTGTCTTTTGGGGTTTTTTTAGATCTAAAATAATTTTAGCTACTTCGAAAATGTTTCACTAGACTGTTTTGAACTGTCTCGCTCAGGTGGCCCAGACAAATAGTCTCCTCCACAGGACTGTGTCGGTTTGGGAGTAGAATTGACTGCTGCTGGGGCTGGGCCCGGTTGTCCTGGGGACAATGCCAACGTGAGTATCACTGCTGCTGGGGCTTCTAGTCACTTGTAGAGAAGGCTTGTACACATCTCATCACCTCTTTCACGTGTTCACACACATCCTTGCAACACAGGGCTTAGGCTTTTGCACGTGTGAGCCTGACTGACTTAGAAGGATGTTGTCACGTTAAAATTCTGTCTATGATTAACAGCAGTACTGAAAATCATTGTGTTCAAGTAAGGTAAACTTTAGCTGGGGCAATGAGAATTTGGGGATTTCTGTTTGGTTTCCGCTTCATTTCGTGCTCTGGTCTAGTAGCCTGACGTAACACTACACTGTGTTATGTTACAAGCACTTCAGGGCAAGAATATTTGTGTCCAAGAAGGAAACCAAGCTGTTGATATTTCACTGAGAAAGTCGATGGAAATGTTCCAGTTAGTATTAAGTTCAAACATTCTTTCAGTAACCCTAAATTAAGGGAAAAAATCCAACTGACAGCATCCTTTTACTGGGTCACACGTGAAGAGAAACATCTCTTGAGAATCTCACATCTGTCTAGAGCCCTCGGTATGATTGCAGCATAACTAAGGAGATAAGTCTTCATTATTAACTATATCTTCAAAAGGTATTCTGTGGTGGCAGCTAGCACGGTGTAGAACTTAAAAGTTTTTAGGAGTGTCATAGAGACCTCAGCTTGTTAAAATTACAGCCTTTGATACCGGGAACACTTGCTCGTGTGTTTAACAGTGCACATATGAGTGATATCCCCTAAGTTTTTGCAGGAGTGAACCTATAAATAGTGGTCTTTTTTATTTTATTGAGATGCAAATGTCTGAAAAGTAGATAATTTTCTGCCAAGTAGTTTTTAAAAGAAACCAGGTATTAAATACTGTCGTTGCTTAATCTGCAGAGCAGTGACTATAGGTGCCAAATATTAGGCAAAAGATAGAAATAGCATTGGCAATTCAACTGTGGACCCTCAGCAAAGGTTTTGTTCAAATCTGTAAACAGCAAGACTGGCTTTTTTTCTTCCCAGGTGTGTTAAAAGCCTACAATGTTTAATAGGTATATAAGATGACTGCTAAAAAAAAGCTGTTCTGGAACATAATGTACCTGATACTGGTTTTTGATGCAGAGTTCTCAGGTTGGTATCTCTCAGGCTATACCATGAATCATTTTGATTTTTAGGGCTCTGATTGGTACCAAGTAGTCGGTTCCTTGGGCTGAACGATTATAGAGAAAGAAGGAGAATGTGAAGTAGGTTTATTGAGGCTGCTCCACAGCTGATAGCATATATGTCCATCTTTTGTAATGTTTTATTTGAAAATCATTGAGTATTTAAATGTTTGAGGCTACAAAAGCTTAATTGGCAAGTATCAAAAATTCACATTGTGTAAAAACAAGACCAAACCCCCCAAACCCCCAAAACATTAAAAGGGTCTCCCTGTGGCCCTTTTGTTACAAGTTGTTGCCTGTGTTGTGACTATAAATTGCAGCTGTAAGTCAATTTCTTGCTATTACTAAGTCTGATTTGAGGTTGTGTTTTTATGATCTTGGGAGACAGCAATAACAAAAGTGATGCAGCAAAAAATTCATAATTAAAAGTTGAGAACAAGATAAAAGTAATACTACACAAAAAGTATATTTAATTCTTTGAATTTTGTCAATGGGGTCATTTCTAGGACAAACTTTTTCAGGTATCGTAAATGTTCTTTTTGTTTTTCAAGGTTAAAGCTGGGTGAATTCTCACCTCCTTCCACTGCATTTTAGTCCATTATTCCCAGATTTGCTCTCTATGCACATTTCCAATAATTGCAGAGATGGATTCTACATGGTCACCTCCAGTAGCTGAGACCAGACTTTCAAAAGAATACAGTTATCACTTAGGTGTCTGAATGCATTTTTTTTTCCCATCTTTCTTTCACATAATGGATGCTGATCATTTTGAATCACTAGTTCAGAAGAGTCTCAGATATTTGGGCAAAGGCCTTATCAAAAACTTAGAAGCTCCTTCTAGTTTCCAGATGGCAGCCAAACTTGGCAAAATAAAGCAAGAAAATCTGCCCCAGTTGTGGGTGGTGAGAATTCCAGTCATATCACAGAGCGGGAGATTACACTAAATGAAAGTGAATCTCTCTAGTGCTTGAAGTGAATCTTTCTGGTGCTTGCAGCCAAACAGAAAATCTGTAGTCGACTTTCCACCTTGGGAATGTGGCATTCAGTATGAAAGATTAACCTGGCACAGAAGGCAACATTCCCGGCCTCAAAGGAAAACTCAAATGTTTTTACAAAGGGCCAAGTACACAATTATTTCTCCCATTTTTTTCTATGGAGAAAGGCATACCTCCTAGTCCTGTCCCTGCATTGGTGACATAAATACATGTCAGACTTTCTTTAGTAGATGTATCTTTTCTTTGCCATTTCTAGAGTAAACTGTACTTGCACAATGAAAACATGTATAAAGTCAGGTATAAATACTGGTGATGAGACCCAGTTTACAAATGAGTCTAAAAGAGAAGCTGTAAATACTCAGGCAATAATGCTGAGCTCTTCATTAGTAAGCTTGAACTGCTTTTCTCAAGCTAGTTTGAGCCATCCTTGTATGCCTCCAAGTGCTACAGCACCTTTGGACTCTCACCTGCTTACTCAAGCATAATTTACTATGTAGGCACTCATTGCCTCTGAATTTATCTTTCTGACAGCAAATGTAAGGTAAGAGCCATGCTGGAGCCAGAGTGTAGCAAGAATACAGGCTCTGGTACGTAATAGGGTTGTCCCAGTTTAGAACCACAATGAGCCGTGGGGTGGTGATTGTTAATATACCTGGATACAGACTCTGCTGTCCAGCTGAGCTGCTCCACTAAACATGCGTGGGCATGCCTTCTGCCTGCCTTTACTGAGAAAAAGGTGTGTTAGTTTAAACCAACTGTGAGATTTAAGTTAATGGTTTAGTTGTGATAGATGTTTAAGCCTGTATGTCAGCTCTTAACAGGGTAGCAGGCTCTTCACAGGGTAGCAGTGTGGCACAGCTGACATGTGGTGACTCATTAAGTGTTGGTAACTTGTTGCTCCTCATCCTCCATCCATAATCCATCCATACAGTTGCAAATGGAAAATGAACTGTGTTATCTAAACTTGCTTTTGTGAAATGTGGAGCAATTCCTTCTATGTCCCTTTGACTGACAAAGGAGTGTGCATAGGGCATAATCATGCTTAACTGCTGCTTGGTAACGCAAGTCAGCATAACTCTGCTATCTTTCACTCTTATAAACATGTAGGAAGAAGTTGAAATCAGGCTTTTCCTTTAATTTACACTCTTCCTTTAAAACATTCTCTGCCTCCTATTAATAAATTACACCAAGACCTGTACATGTGAGGAAGTGCATATAGGTCTGATCTGTCTGTAAACTGTCAGTGTCAGCTGTAACATCTCAGCTAGTACAAATATTCCCTCTTCCGTGAGATGAAATTGCCTTCCCAAATGCCCAGTTCCAGCAAATGCACTTAGGTGTCCTTCCGGCTGAAATAAGAACTTTGAAGGAGGTTGGATGAGGTGGTTTTTTTTCTTCTTTATTTCTTGCATGTTATGAACACCAAAGCAGGATCCAAGTTTTAGACACCTAGATCCACTTTGATATAAAAAATAAGCATATTTTCAAAGGGGCTGAACAAACCTAACTCAAGTTCATTGGCATTTCTTAGTCCCTGTAAATTGAAAATCCATCCACACTTATTTAATGGCCTGATCTGGATTTAGAACTGTGGATATATGTCATCACTAATGTAGCAAAGTAGCTTTTCTGAGGTTTTGATCTGGTGTGTAAACCAGGTTTATTGGTTAAACCCTGAGTGTAAAAAGTCTGATTTGGAAGCAGCAGAAATGTTAATAGCAACAACTCTTAGTTTATGTAAAGTATCCTGCTCATGGGTAGAGCTGATCCTTTACACTGGTGGACTCACAGTATCAGTCCTTTAAAGTTAAATATTAAATATGCCAGTTGAAATCAGTCCAAAATCCCATGTTGTAGTCCAGCTTCTGGGATTTACTTGCACCTTAATTAGTCGTAGTGGGAATAATACCTGTGGGTGGGAGTAATCACACAAAAGCCTGCTTCTGTGAAAATGTTATGTTGATAAAGTAGATACGTATGTAAAAACAGGGCTGTTGACTTGTGTTTTTTATGTGCTGTTGTTGTGCACACAGCAAGACTATAATCCAGAGCAGAAGTGAGGGTAGAAAGTTTCTTCTGGATTTCTTTTTTCTGAGTGGAGGGTTTTGACTTCTTGTGACAGAACATTTTTGGTAAGAGCAGAATATCAACAGTACAGTTTTAATTCGTAATTCCTTTTGCATTGTAAGGCAACTGCATCTGTGTACTGAGTGTGTTGTCCTAACGCAGTACCTAGTCAATGGGTTTTAAAGCATACAGGGAAAACCAAGTTGGGGCATGCATCATTGCACACATCTTGCACAAATACACATTTCCGTGTGCCAGCAGAAAAAAAAAAAAAACCTTAGGAAGTTAATTCAACCATTTTTATCCTTTTTTTTTAATTTTTTTTTTTAAATATGTTATTCAGCATTAATTGTGATCTGACATACCTGCACTTCCTGCAGTGGTAGGGCTGGATGAGAAATGTCAACTGCAGAATAGAAAACAGTTGTGTCCATTCCTGTGTTCTAGCTACTGTAGTCTAGGAGACTTGCTGAAGCCTGTCATGTCCTCCGCTAATGAGATGTCTGTGACAGCATTCAGCTGTCAGGGATGGCTGTTTTCTGTAGTGTTTCTCAAGGAAAGGATAATTTGGGCCTTGCTGTTCAAGTGTCTCTGCTTGGTCAGAGGTGGGCCAAGCAGTAGGGAAGTCCTTGGGACCACTGCTGACCTACCCTCACTGATAATCCAGTGTACAGAAATGAGCTGTGAATATATACCCACATAGTGAGCTCTGGAACCTTTTTAGTCTATCAGAGCACTAACATATAGGGTAAGAGATACACCCATTTCATGCAGAGACTTATGTGAGAAGTACTGTGATGCTTTTTATTCTTCAGCATGAAAGTGGAAGTTCTTCCTTCAGTTTCCAACAGACCATGCTAGGGGTTATCTGAAAAATGGGGTTTTGTGGACATTTTTGCCACTAATCCGTCTTGGTTTCCTGAAAGGTGTTCTTAGAACTAATTGTCCACCTGTCTTGCTTTTAGCTGGCTTATAAATATCTCTAGTTCTCTCAAAAACTATAAAAATGGTTTCCACATGTGTTTGTCTTTCATATACAAAATACACCTGCTTTGCACTTGGCTGCATGTCTGTTTGTAATTGATTTGTATGCTAGTTATATGTTGTCAAGGTACAAAGATGTAGGGTGCCTTTTGCTTCAGAATTTTATCCTCAGTTTAACAGCCAAGAACTGTAGAAAGAGATAGTAATTTAACATAGATTTAAAAGGTCAAGCAATATTTTTTGCAGAAAAACAGTATAAACCATCTTGAATTTTCATTCTGTGTTACAGTTTGGACAACTCCTTTGCTAGAGGTGATGGCAAAAAGGGTTCCTTTTGCTGTGCTCGCGTATGTACAAAATACAAGGTTGGATCTGCAGCGGTTTTAAATGAATGCAGGTCTACTGTCAGATCCTCAGTCAGCAGAGGGTACTTTGAGGTTTTGTCTGGTGGACAGAAAGTTCAACCAACAGAAGATGCTTAATGGGAATGAAATCCCACTGAACATTGATTTTTGCAAGTAGTGATGTTACTTGATTACTTCACTCGTTTCAATATTGAATTCTCATTAAACAATAGCAAAGTCAATAAAGTCTGTCTTGAGAGGGAATTGTGAAGATGAGTGGGCTCTATCAAAGCATACGTCTGCTGTAACTCCATCTGGTTATCTCCCTGTACTGAAGTTAGACCTAGGGGAGCCAAACCAGAGTAGGTCAGCTAAGTAGTTTCCTGGCAGCTTAAATGATGACAGTTGGCTTAAAAGCCCAAGGATAGAGCATTCAAGAAGGTATATAATAAAACAGCCCATTAGTAAAAGTGGAAGTCAAGCCATCAGTTTACACCTCTTCTTGGCAGTACATCATTAAAAAGTGTAAATTGAAGGGTGTCAGGTTAACGTTTAGATTTAGGTGAACCTAGTGGGAAGCACATGATTTCAGGAAGTTTGTAATAGGACTTACAAGAGGGACAGGGGAGCTTGTACAAGCTGATAAAGCAGATGCAGGCATAACCAAATGCTTTGCTGGGAACTGTGCATGCTGCTGCCTTCTTACAACACTTGTGAAGAAACTTACAGTGTCTATGCTGCTGCTCCTCTCCTAATGAGCTTCAAGACTATGTATCTGTACTGTGCAGAGCTGTTTACAGAGATGCAAGGTGGTGGGAGGGGGAGGAAGAGAGGCTGTGCTCTCACTGATGCCTTAAAGAAGATTTTGGCCAATGTTGATGGGAGTTTACCTATATAAATCATCCCATACATCAATCGGAGGAGAGGCCATGAGCTGCTTAGGACTTCTGTTTCTTGCACATAACAATGCTTTCAGTGGAAATGGCAATTCTGTATAGTCCAAGATGCACAAAGATAAACCCATTATTTTGTCAATAAGGAGCCATGAAAACACTGGCTGTTACAAAAACAGGAGGCTGGCCCAGCAGCAGAAACCTCCTTAAAGTCAGTAAGAGTTTGTTACCGAATAATTTTTTTGTTACTGAATTTGTGGTTTAAGAATGCAGTCTGTATTAATGCATCGTGTTGCCAGTGTTTAGTTAATATTGATATACAGCATGTCTGCTTCTTTATAAAATGACCAATATTTTTGTGCATCACTGGTACTTTTCAAAGAAAAGACATTTTATACAGAATTGCAATACTGCTATGCAAGAAAATGAGGTTTTGCTATTTTTATTCAGTAGTTTTTGTTTTCTCTCTTTTTTTCAGTTTACAGCTTTATGCTTTTAAAGCAGTTATGACTTTACTTCATTAAAGATACAGTATCCTTTTTCACTTCCCTACTGCATCTCTCCTGCACTGCATACATAGAATAATAGTTTTGCAGTCTGTTTTTTTCCAAAGAAATCTCAGCCATAACATGATTTGACTGTTCCCAACTGTAGTGTATTTGTATTTGATGCTTCTCTCAAAGCCTTGCAACAACCTGGGAAGCCTCCCTCAACTATAGCAAGTGCTAATGGACTTCTGGTTAAAACTTATTTAAACCAATATAAGTTGCAAGCATAGCAAACAGCTAAGTGTTGGTTGCATACTACTTAAATTACAAAGAGATGCTGTTGCTTATGTTCCAGTCTTTTATAATAAGGCTGTATAGCCTAATGAGCTGTGCTGCTAACATTAATTTTATTGGCATATAAATTGATTGAAAATCAGCCCAAAACATAAATCCGTGTTTCAGTCTTATTTAACTTTTGTAGCATATCTAGTTTCATATGGTAATAAGAGCTGAAGAGGTCTTTAAGCATTAGTTATAATTTAGGTGACATTCACAATTTAAACATTATAAAAATGGCCAGTAAATTTATATGCCAGCATGTTTACTGGGTGCAGATGTTCAGACACTTATAAATGGGTGTAATTTTGATTACTCTCAAGTTAGCATCCAGATGCTAACCCTTTATGTTTGCTGTGTGGAGATGCAGCATTAATATATACCTGTATTTACATGAAAGGATACTGTCTCTTTAAGAAAAGCATTTATGTTTGGTTGATGGAAACATTGAACCTAAGCCATGAAACATGAGAATTTTTACAACTATGTACCAAATGAAACATGACAAAGTGTAACTCCATAGTTGATTGAATAAGAATAGCATCACATCATTATATTTAATTTCTCTTCTGTATCAGAATGTGTTTGTTAAATCTCATGATGAATTACTGATGTAAGGTATTTCCATTTCTAAATGTGTATCAGAATTTTTTTTATTTCAGAAAAACTCTGAATGTTGAATGTGTGTAAGTCTCCAGGAATGTAACAAGTTGATAAAAACCCCAGCCAAGTCCATCCTCCTTCCAGAATAATAATAAAAAAAAAAGCTGGAATTTCTTTTTTTGGATATTTGTTTTGCAGCGTTCTACGTCTTAAGGCAGAGAATAGCCAGCCTAAGGTGCCAGCCCAAAGGTTAGCTGAACATATTTCTTCAAATAATTTTGGCAAGATTGTGGCTCGGAGTTATGGCCTCTAAGTCATAAGTTTACATGAGAACTGTAATACGTGACAAGAAGATGTAGATGTGCTTTTGTTCTTTCTCTTTTTTTTTTTTTCCTCCCTTTTTAAACATTTGATTTGGGGAAGAGATGGGGGAAGGAAATCAACAGGAATGTTTTATCCCAGTCACCTATCCATATTTCTAATTTGCACTTTTCCCTTTTTGCTCTATTCCTTTTTCTTTGTTTTACTGTCAAGCCCCAGGCAATATTTTTTCCTTCCTGAATACTGTTTATACTCCCATCATCATATTTACAACCTGTCACACTTAGGAGACCAAATATGCTTTCATAGTATTGGATCATATGCAGTAGGAGGCCAGTTTGGGATGGCTGAAGCACTTATTGCCCCCCACTGCCTTTTTGCACCTCCACTACAGGCTGTCATTTCCACTACAGGGAAACTTTACAGCCCCTGCTCTACAGCAGTGTACAACCTGGCATGTTAAAGCAAAATGAAATCAGCACTAGCTTACATTGGTACCCAGGGCTGTAGTTTGCTGCTGCTTAGGAATTGTCCTATGTCTTGTTTACATACCCCTGTGGTGGGAGTACCAGTCCTCAGAAAGGGAGCAATCAGCTCAACTGTCCTTGAAAGTCAGCTTTGTTATTATGATACGGAGGTTACTCTGCTGAAGCCAGTGGGTGTTATATTCTAACAAACAAAAGAGCAGTAGTGCCCAGTTTGTCTTCTGCCACCACAGACACATTCATGCCAGACTGTTTTTACCTGTTGGAGTTCAGTAGACACACAGAAAGACATAGGTAACAAACAAGCATTTGAGATGATAGAGTACCATTCTTTAAGCAAATATCATGAAGCATTTAAAATGCAAACATTAAAAGATTGGCGAAGCATGAAATACTTGCTTTTCTAATTTTGCATTCTGTTAGGTCAAATTTTCACTGAGTTTTTAAAGAGTATTTAAGTGCGTAAGATTAACTTTCACTGGCTTCGTTAAGAACTCTTGATTTTAGTGTTATCCATGCTTAAGTTATGCATGCTTTCAAGTGCTGTTCTGAATAGCAAGGCATTCATGAACCATGATCTGTGCAGTTTAGAAACACATTTGGCAGCAGCCATAGGCAAGCAAAGAATTCATTGCACTGAATAGTCCACACTGGCTGCAGTTTGTCCTGTTAAAGTGCTGTTACCAGAATTGTGTGCAAACTGAGTAACTGATTTACCCAGGCAAAGTTATGCATGAAAAACTGAGAGCTGCTTACTTAACGGAACTGTATCTTTTAGATGGAAGCTCAGGCATGCATTTTGACAACATTTGTTATCATGAATGTTACAAATAAGTAATTTATGAAGAAATATACAGGCATTAGATACTGCCATTTTATCTGATGATATTATCAGTCTCTAGTTACAGAAGTTGGTTAAGGACATTTACTGTCTTTCAGAAAATAAAGAATGTTTTGCATATGAAATTATCTGAAAATTAATACCCTGTTGCCCTATTCAGGCTTATGAAGCTCTACAGAGATGCGTGCTGTGACTGCTGGTACATTTATTTGGGAGGGAAAGTTATTTTTTCAAAAGTAATTCTGTAACATAAGTTATGGGTACGACATGGTTTTACCACCTACTGATAACTGCGGTAGGTTAAGCTTCATGCGTTCTCCTGTGTTTGTATGTAGTTGAACAAAAAGAAATATGTAACTCTGAAAGAGCTGCAATGATTTATTTACAGATTAGCTCATACCTTTGGGATTGTAGATCAAAATCACTGTGAATAAGGCAGATTTACTTTCCTGAGTATGTTTATGCAATTGCATAATTTGCAAAGAATGGCAAAAAGTAAATAGAGGCAGACACGAGCTGAAGGGAGCCGTGGAATAGAAGTATAGAACTGGAGGCTGTGGTCTGTTAGCGCCACAGGAAAAAGGAAGCCAGTTTCAGGTGAAAGAGGAAGCACAGAGGAAAGCTTGTTTCACCAACATGCAAGTCTTGCTATAAAGTTGGCACTTGGGGAATGTAAGCTTAAGATTGGAAGTCTGTTCTGCATTCAGAAGTGTAAGAAGATCCAGGAAATGTTTGTGAAGCTGAATAGTATGTAATCATCTCTGAGCTAAGGCATAAATTACTTTCTATGTTTGGGCAAACTGAATTTTAAAGAGCTGGGATTTAGTGTCAGAACAAGTAAGGGGCTATATGTTACCTGGGAAGAGAGGGCAGAAGCAAAGCCATTCAGGCAGAGGGTCAGCACAGCTTGTTTAAGATACAGGTACTCATGCATATTTTTAGACTTCAGCGGGGTGAAAATGGAAGTTCAGGGGCAGGTTGGACATCTGCACTCTGGAATTTTGAGGCAGTTTTGAGTGGAGAGATGCAGAAAAAGCAATTAGACTTTGAGGACAGCTTCTGTTAATGAAGCACTCTTCAGAGCATCATGCAAGAGAGAAAATGCAAGGAATAAGAAATAAGCAATTGTAATGGAATTCTGTGCAGGGAGCAAATACAGGTGAAATTTAAAAACTCAGCATTATAGACTCAATATGAATTGACTGAATGTGTTTTTCATTTGCTGTATTTGTGCAGCAATTAAAAACTAGTAATTCAGAATGGTTGAGTCATTCTCAGACACCACCAGCAACTAGTAGGGGCTAGGAAGACTGGTGGCTTCTGGCTTTTACACAAGCATAATGTGTGCTAACAGCCAACACGTGTTTCACCAGAAGTTATTTCTTCCTCTCTCCCACACTTGGAAAAAAAACAACCACCCAACCCTAATGCAAACTGCTCATGTTTTAATTCCTTGTGTAATTCTTATAGGAAGTTTAGTCTGTCCTGAAGCTTAAGTGAGACTTAAAATGGGGTATTCGTCTTACTTTGGAGGAAAAAGTCAACCTTAAAAAAAAGGAACTCTGTTAGAGTTACGGTCAAATAAAAGGCTTTAGGATACCTGCTTGACTCCATTGAAGCTGGTGGGAACTGAGAGAGAACAAGTCTTCATATATGGCTAAAAAAAAAAGAATTTAAAATAATGAAACTGAAATGCGTAATTATGAGACCAGAGTTTATTTGCTGATGTTTCTTGAATGAATTGGGCAACAAAACTAAATGGAAAGTTTAGTTGTAGTTTATTCTGTGGCCTAGATGAATAAGCAGTGGTTGACTAAAGATGAAGATAGTTGTGCTCAGGATTTCTTTGTTTATCTCAGTCTGCATTACTATCTGATGGGAGTGCCAGTTTAAATGCTTTCTGAGATAAATCCTTGGAGGAATGGTAGGTCTTTGTTGATACTGCTTCAACAATAAATTAGCAATGCAGATTTTAATGGCACTTGTCTATACAAGTGTCCTTTTAACTTTTGTTTAAAGCAATTACTATTATAAAGAGTAGAATGGTTTTGCTTCTTTTTTGGTAAGCTTTTCAGACTCCTATCTTCTAGACTTCATTGCCCTAAGTGTGTAAGAAGGGTACTTTCTCATCCTGGTGTAACTCTCCACTGTCTACATTTCCTGCTTCCTTAAGTGAGTGTTACATAGCAGACTCAAGTCCTGGACGTGGCTTATTTCAGTCATTGTAAATGTGGGTTGATCAGAGGGAAGTGATGTTCCATTGGTTGTTGTGGTTGGTTCTAGGGAAATATTTCAGTTGTCAAGATGCAGAGGATATTACTTGAGAGACTTTTTTCCCAGCTACTTATGAGTCCAGTTGTGTTAAAGAAATGAATAAACTCCATGTGAGCAGAGCAACTAAAATACTGTATCTGACAAAATATATAAAGTGGAAAATTAAACGAAAAATACCCAGTCACATCAGCACACATAGTGTATGCTGAGACTCATACCAAACAGCTGAAATAACTGCCTGCTATTAAAAGAAATACTGAAAGTTGGCCTCTAGTTTATTTTTGTACCTGGATCTCATTGTTGACCATGTTCAAACTAACCCTTCAAGAGTCAGTGAGTGTATCTCTACTGCTGTGCAAGGGCAGCTTCTGTCAAGACAGGATTACTTGCAGGCGGCAGAGCCTGAGCCAGCCCACTTCTCTGGCCTGGTGTCTCTGGTAGAGGCCAGCGGGAAGGGCATATCAATGTTCCTGGTGGAACCCCAGCCACGTGTGCAGACTTGTCTGAATGCTTCCTAAGTCCCAAGTACCCTGCAAAGCCCTGTACAAGTTGATGGGAAGTTATACAGTTTGGTGAGGGTGGCTTGTTTCCTGATCAGAAAAGCCTGTGGTGTTGGCAGAGCTACAGATGTTGCTAAGCTTACTGCAGAGTGCTTGTCTCTTGTGTATAGAAATCCTTCAGTTGTAACACTGTATTGCATTTCAGCAGCTGTGTGTAAATAAGATGCCTAATGCTTAAGTAGCCAAAGTGTGCAGAATGTACTCTGATAAACAGGATTTCTTCAACTATGGTGTTTGGCAGGAAGCATAGGTTTCTGAATGCCTGTTTAATGTGAAAAAAAAAAGGCATTTTGAGATGACTTTGGCTTTATGGATAGTGGTTGCCAATCATTAGGAAATTCTTCCTCATGGCAGTGGAGATTCTTGAGCTGTAGACTGCTGAAGGGCTGAGATCTTCTTTAATGGAGACTTTTAAACAAAAAAGAGAGATCTGTTATGATTTAAGTGCATTTCTTCATTATCTTTTGAGACTAGGAGGTAAACTGGACGAGGATTTAGCCACCTGATACATGACATTAAATACTGCACAGTTTGGAGCTATGTTGAGATGTATTGGACTAGATGATCTGTTGAAGATCCTATACTTACTGCTTGACTCAATAGCATGGCCTATAGTACAAATCTTATATCTGTAGACAGTTGTATACTGTTTAACAAATGCTAATATGTAGGTTTTGTTCTGATACAGTATCTGACTTACTTGGTTAACCGAAAGAACTGAGCAAAACATCAGATTCCCAATACAAACCTATTTGACCTGAATTAGACGAACATTTTCATTTCTAAATGAAATGAAAGTCTTATTTATTTCATTACTGAATTTTATAGGTTTTTCGTCTTCAAGTATGAGGTCTTTTTCTCTTTGAGCTACTGCTAATTTACAATCTGTGCAATTGAGGGCGGGACCAAGATGATGAAGTCAACTGAACTAAAATTGCCACAGGGTCAGCTACTGAACTGTAACACCTCACACCAAGTTGGTCCCCTGGTGCTATGTGCTTTTGCTAAATAATTGTTACTTAACTGTATCCAGCTCCACAATATGTTCTTTCTCTAAAGTGCAGTTGAAATTTCATGGAAGCTTTCAAAAACATATTGCAGTAATTTCTGCTTCTCTGTACTTTAGATCACATCTTTTTCTCCAGTGACTTCAAAGTCATGAGGTTGTGTCTTCATAGTCAATTTTGCTGCCATCAATTCTAATTAGACTTGAGTCTGTGACCTGAGGAAGACATCAGTGATGATGAGCTCTTACAGAAAGGTCTTTGTTTTCCTGTTTATAACTATAATGATTAAAAAAAGCAGTAATTGTTTCCAAGTACAATGTGTTCTAGAAGTTTTTCTTGATGTATCAGTTGCTCTTCAGTCAAATCTGTGCATTATCCAAGGGGATACTTTTTGAAACATACATTTTACTAGTGTAAGCAGCCCCTTTTCCTAACCCTTTAACTGAGAGGTTTTTCTGAAACTGAATCCTGTTTCTTTGTTTCTGGACAGTGTTTATTGGGGAAAAATAAATTTCTTGCATTAACTAGAAAAATCCTCCTCTACCTTTTAAGGTATTCCCTTAAGACAGTTTTCAGAACGAGACTGCACCATTGTGTTATGAAGATGCGTCAAGAACAGTGCTATAGATTTAAAACAAGGTTTTCTAAACCTGGCCATATATACACACACACACACACACACACACACACACACATATATATATATATGTAATGTTTAAGTAGAGAAATGCCCTGATAATAAAGGGCAAATGCAATCTTAAACCTGGAGCAAACGCCTATGCTAATAGATGCTTCCGTGCATGTGTTTGTGGGAATTGCTGATTCTGGATGCTTTGAATTTTATGGAAAAGATTTTAGACCATCAGAGATGTGTTTGCATAGTTCTTCCACAACCAGAACTAATTTCTTCTTTGTGTTTTAATTTTGTTTAATTCAACCCTGTTGAACAACTTGGCTAGAATGCAAGCTACATTTTTGAGTGCCTTCTGGCAGTTTTCTTTTAAATTACATCCTTAATACATCCAGTTATATGTTACTGCCTGTTGTCAGGTTAATTAATATTACAGCTGGATCTAGTTAGTTACTTTGCAAATTTCAAATGATACTCTTAGTTTAGAAAATGAACTTAAAGCCAGGGTAAATAGGAAGTCCTGCTTACAGGATGTTCAAGTTATGCCACCCTCTAATTTCTGTCTAATCTGTGTCCATCTCTCTTAAATAGTAGGATCACCAGAATTTTGCATCTGTATTTTGTCATCTACTGATAAACAGCATTCTACAGCACAGTAAATACTTTCATTTTCCAATAAGTTGAAGCAGTACATTTAGCAATAGAAAGATATTTCTAAGAAAAACGACTTGGAAATGTTGTTTAAAATTTTCAGCTGTAAAATAGTTTCCGGATTTATGCAGGATTCATTGCACTCTGAAATTATTCCTGTTTGCTAATCCTGCATCTATAAATACATTTGTGCATGAATTGTATTTATTTAGAAGCAACGATTGTTTTATCATAAAAGTTATAAAAGTTTGGTTTGAATTTTTGTGTTCTATTGAAAGAGGTATCAAAAAAATGGCTTCCTAATTATTATTTGTTGGAGTTCTGTATTTATGCTCCATTTGGGGAATTAGAAATTACCTGGCAAATTTGATTCTGGAAGCAGCGTAGACCATAACTTCCCAGTCTGAGACTAGATCTCTACAGCAGGTTGGGTAATAAATGCTTAAAATGTTCTGAGAAGTGACTTGGATGTGTGCCGTGAGAAAGCAGCATATTACAGTCGGTGTTGCTTTCACTTTTACCCAAACCTGTTTGACTCCAAAAGAAAAAAAGTCATTCCTGTGCCAGAATCCAAGCACACAAAAGGAGAAATTCAGGCAAAACTTGCTTAATAAGGGGGTAAAGAGTGTTGCCTTGTAGCCATAGAAAACAGTGAATCCTGGAATCTGTGCTACTGCCCATCAGTGACTGAACTAGGGCTTTGTTTGTATGTTGCCTGACATTGATATACACATTTTCTATATACCTGGGGTATATTCCAGGTTTACCAAATTTAATGGCATGAGTCATAGTATATACATACAAGAGAGTGCAAGTGAAGGCACAGTGCCTGCTTGCTGATATTAAAAGGGTTTAATATCTCAGAAATAGCACGATGTAGTATTGTACAAAATAGACTATTAACAAGTATCTTGCTCTTCCCATGTGTATTGGGGTAGTGATTATTTTTGAAACAGCACCTGATATTTGAGGAGTGGTATTTAAAGATCATATAATGATGCTGAAGGGAGGAACATAAACGGTATGATTTGTTAGGTCGTTGCCATTTGTTTCAAACTAAAGCACTGTCAGCCATGACTGGAGCGGAAGAATAATGAGTCTTCCTCTGTTCACAGCTATATGCCAGCCAGGATGCAAACATGGCGATTGTGTTGGGCCAAACAAGTGTAAGTGTCACCCGGGATACACTGGAAAAACCTGCAACCAAGGTAAGAAAATGATGTCCAAGAAAGAGTTTTGAATATGTACTAATTATTTTAACAATATCAACAGGATGCTGTAAAAATTGCTGAAAGCTATGGTCTTGAACTAAACTCTTTGCTTTCCACTAAATGATAAGGAGGGAAAAGAACATGGTGATAAATGATTAAAGGAAGCCTTTTAGGCACTGTTGATCAAATATGCTTGCATGGTATTGGTGGCAAAGTTGCCCTAGTAGATGTGCATGAAGTTTCTGAGGTGCCTGCTGGCTGTGGTGTCCCAAATATACATCAGTTCAGGTGGCTACAGCCTATGGGTATTCTATTATCTAGTGAGACCTTTGAGCTGTGCCTGGGGTCAGGGTATGTATTCTTGCTGTGCCAGTTCCATGTTAGGATGAGACCTGAAAGTGCAATAATGGATGCAGAATTCGCTTTTTCTGTGAGGAAGTTCAAATTGCACATGGTAAGCGTGACTTATGTTGTTATGTTGTACCCATTCTTTTCAGTTTATGGGCCACCTTTCTCATTTCTGTTCTAGAATAATAATTAGCAATAACAGAAAGTAATGGTGTTGGGCAGAGGAAATGTTGGAGTTTCCCTGCAGAGATGTGAGGCTTTCTAAGCTGTGTGAATGGTGCTGGGCTGTGAAGTATGCTCAAGTTCTTGGTGAAATGCATTCATAGACTGCAAGCACTGGTGAACAAGCTTTACATCTCATCTGTTCATGGGCCTCATGGATCAAGCCGTACTCCAGGGATCGATCCAAGAGAAGAGCCCAGCCTCACAGGAGGACTGTTGAACCCCGATAGTGATGATGCTGCTGTGGCAATCTAGACTTCCCTTTAGGTCACTCAGAAGTTAGCGCTTGTTAGTGCTGTCAAGTTAGCACTTGAGATTTTTATACATACATATTTTATTGAGGAGGGGGTGAGGATTTTTTTTGTTTGGTTGTTTTTTTTTTCTTCTTAATGGTGAAATACTGCATATTACAAAGATCTGGTAATTCCATTTTTATTATGCCTTCTTCCCAACCTGTAAAGATGAGCAGCTGTATACAAGTCCACCTGGTCACAGCAGTGAAGCACGTCTGTTCCGCCCCCTGGATCATCATGCAAGAAATATAGGATCAAGGGGTGAGATGGTGCTGTATTTCAGGTGGCGTGCTCCTTCTACCTGCACGGCTTGAAACACTAAGTACAATTTCTTGCAAAGGGATCAGAGGCTAATGGACCGATGGCTGTGATGCAGAAGCTGAACCTCTGGCGTCACTGGCATGCAGAGCAAATAACTGACTGTATTTCCTTGATGCTGTGTGCCTGTGTTCTGCAAAGGCTTGACTCTCCACCATACTCGTGGTTGTTACTTGCTTTTGTTTCTTTCCTCTGCTCTTCTTTCAGGGGCTGTACTTTTTGTTTGTTTGTTTTTGAGTTCCTCTGTAAAGAGAGGGTGATGGAGATTGTTTGTCAGGTTAGATAAACACAAAGCTGCGATTTACATAAAGCTGGAAGTTGAAGAAACAAGGGTTGTTAACCTCTGCATTTGGCAGATTAATCAGACTAAATGATGTGAACAAAACTCTCTCCGGGTGATACAAGTCTCTCATAAGTTTGACATGGTAGTGTAATGATAGTCGCTGGAAATGAAAGCCATACTGTTTATAGTATGGTGATAACAGTTCAATTTTTTAATTTGGTTTCTCATACCTAGTTTTCTATTTTCAAAGTCTGAGTGAATTTCATATTGAACATTTGACTTCTGTGTTGTTCGATCCAAGTTAGCTAATAGGCAGAAAAGATCTGAGTGCTGGAGTCTTCTGCAGAAGATAATTGAAGAAGACAGCTGAGTGTATTGCATCTTCCTAAGAATAAGCCCCCCATTATTAGGTGTGTACTGAAGTCACTCATTGTCAGAGATCATGTGTGGTGCCACACAGTAGTCAAAGAAGTCGCATCGAAATTGCCAGCACAGCAGTCTTGTCCTTTCTCTGCATTCACATTTTCATTTAATTTCTTTAAAATACTTGCACTCAGCAGCATGCACTTGTGCTGTAGACCTGCTTTCCATAGTGCCCACAACAGTCACGTTACTTTTATGTACTATCTTATGCTGTTTTGAAATTAAGAATGATGGTTTTTGCATTGACTGTAAACCTGTGGGCAACATGGGAATTTAAGTGGCTGAACGATGAAATTCTCAAGTGTGGTACAGTGAGTGGACATTCCTGCAAGGAAATTAAATGGTTTGGTTAAACTTCTAGTAGTGCTGGGCCTTATATTTTAATTTCCAGTGTGAAGATAATAAGTGATTTTAAAAAATATATTTAAATATGTAGAGAGAAAAATGGTGTAAAACTGTTATTACCCTTTGAGTGTATACATTTTAGATTTCAGGGTTTTTTTGAGGCAACTTCTGCTGTTTTCTTATTTCCTCTTTTGGCGCACAGACATTTATACTGAGATGTTTTTATAGACATTGCTTGAAATACCTAATTGATAAGTGAACAGAGTGTTCAAGAGGTATGTTGCTACAGCTCATTTTTTTGACTGCTAACATTAGCCTGAATCTGTTCTTGAAAAAAGCAGACCTTACTTAAGGAATGGGAAACACACAAACTAATAGAGTATATACATAGCAGGAATGTTTCGGCACTCCCCCAGTCTACATGCAGTGCATCCTGATTCTTCTTAGGGAAGCATGCTGTTAAGAGATTATGGGTGCATGGGGGTGGATCAAGAGAGCTGTCAGCATTTTCATACAGGCCTTTACGTAGAACCAGTAGGACCTAATCATACAATGTGCCTCCTAGGAAACTGAGCAATACTTGTCATGCAGTTTCTGAGTATGTGCCTATCTGTGCTGGTGAAAAGAAGAAAAATTGCATTTTGGGGAAAATAAGATGGGCTGAGCAGTATGCTCATAAAACACCTATTTGCAGGCTGGCTTCTCTTTTAAGCAGCCACAGGACTGCTAGTATTTGTTTTCCTAAACAGTAGCATTCATTTCACTCTGTAAGGTTAAAAACAGCATTCTCTCAATAGCTCATTTCAAAGGCAAAATTGACATCCCATGAGCCACGAGGTTTAGGTTTAAGTGGTGTTGTGCTAACAGCCTATTTCTGCTGCCTTGTGACCTCAGCTTTCCGTTACCTCAGCCAAGGTTAAAACTTTGTGACTTTTTCATGGCACAGGCATTTTATTTTCAGCATGTTTTTGAAGATGTGAATCAGAGTCAGAAGCTGAGGTAGCAGCATTTGTTCACAGGCAGAAATAGAATGAAGCAAAGGCAATAGAAATAATTCAGTCAAAATTCCACAGACAGAAAGCATGTGATGAGATATCCTGATACTTTTTAATATCAGGTTATTCTCAGAGTATGTTACTAATGGGTGTCTATTTGTCAATTCCAGAGCTTTCATTTCTGTACTAAGAATATTTCGTACCAGATGGTGGTGTAGTATCCAGAGTTCTATAGAAAGATCCAATTATTTAAGGCTCATAATGCAATCTATACTATATGCAAGACAGCACATAGAGAACAGTCATAAATTCTTATCAGTGTCAACTTTGGATCTGTGATTGTGACTCTGGAAATAAGCACAAGACAGTTCTTAAGGGTAAAGTCTTCAGGAGTATCTAAACTTAGGAGCTTACATGCAGTGGGATGTAAGCACTAGAAATTAGTCCAGGCACTGTTAAATTCCTGCTCTGTCAGCTTAATTTCAGCATTCCCTTTCCTCACTCTGTCCCTGCTTTTAGTTAAGTATTTTATACTTAGCTCTGTTACACATTTAGTTTGTAAAGTATCACTTGGTGAGAAAGTGCTTAATAGTGGAGATGGCTCTCTGGAAAATTCCTGGAAGTAACGAGACTCCCTTACTGCAACAGACTTCCAGATAGCATTGTGCAATATTGGAGATGAGGGTTGGTAATGCAGTTGTTTAAGTACTTGCTGGCTGGATTTATGAGTAGATTTATTATTTTCACCTTTTTCGCCATCTTTATTCATCAGCCCACAAATAACAGCACACAAGTAACAAATTATTCTGGTTTATTCAGAGAAACCCAACATGTATTCTTGGAAGAGAATTCTGAAGGAAATCCTCACTCAATCTTTGCTTCTTATTAGAAGCCTTGTCTACTAATATGAAAATTGTAGGCTGAATGTTTTCAGTTTAAGCTGTGAACTCTGTATTAAATTGTAATAGCCTTCATGGATACTCCTTGACAAATATCACTGATACCAGCTGGGTTTTTTCAGTATTTTCTTGATGGTAAGGAACAAATTTTCACTGTAAGATCGTTTAAAGTAGGTTAGCATCAGCTTTCCTACCTTCCTCTGCGACTAATTCTGAAGCATGATAGAGAATCACTGAATCACTATCGGAGTCACTGATAGTGATTGCAGCAGTGACATTTGCTTTCTCCTCCCTCTTTCTCCACAGTTCTGTCTGGTCCTGAACATGGCATCAATATGAATGGCGGCAAGATGCGGGCAACCTGAGCTTGTGCGTTCCTTAATGACACTTCTGTTGGTGTTTAATGCATATAATGTCATTTTTTAAAGGGTATCTGTGAAACAGAAAATACACCACTTAGCAGGAGGGCTGCAAAGTGCTTCTTGCAGGATGTTCTGGACACTTACTATCAGCTGGACTGCATATAAAAAGCTCATTGCCATGTTTTTAGCTCTTTCCACAGGAACTTGAGCTAGTAGTTTTGTCACACATACTTTGTATATTTTCTTTTCCCACCCCTCCCCTTGTACCCTTCATTTTAGATCTAAATGAGTGTGGACTAAAGCCGCGGCCGTGCAAACACCGGTGTATGAATACCTACGGCAGCTACAAGTGCTACTGTCTGAACGGCTACATGCTTATGCCAGATGGAACGTGCTCGAGTACGGCAAGGCTTGTTGCTTGCTTTTTTCTGAGCTCCTCAGGACCCCTGCTTGAGTTTCCCTGGGAAACTTTTATGAAATGAAGATGAGTAAAAGATTAATCTTGCTGGAAATTAGGTGGTTGCACAAGATGAACCTCTTTTTTTTTTTTTTTCCCTAATGAAATTAGGCTGAACAAAACAAGAGCAAATATTTTGATTTTATTAGTTTTATTATAAGTTTCCCCAGAAGCATTCTTCCGGGTGTAGTATTAGTGCTGTAAATCATGTTAATTGGCCTTCAGGGACAAATGCTCGCAGTTTGCATTGCGGCAAGACATCTGCAGCTCTGCTGTATTATGCTCTTATGAATGTAAAATCATTAAAGCTGCAGATGTTGGTTGTTTGGTACAATATTGTACTATCATCTCGCTGAAGATCAGGTTCCTACTTGCTCCCATGAAAGTGGATATTTTGAGTGTTTGGACAGAGAGAAGGGGAGAGAAATTACTTTTCAGTAGGAATACTCCTATTTTAAAGTGGCAGTACGGTCCAGGAGGCTTCATGTTCCTTGTGGGTGGCTGCATTCCATGAGGAATATGCTACAATTGTGATGATTTTATTAATTTTATTTCTTCCCCCTAGAGATGCAATCTGTGGAAAGTAGAAATTTACTAAGTATGTGTTTGCTCTTTAAAGCCTGACTGGATACCTGTCACATTCAACAAGCATTTTCCCACTTCCGTCATAATTAAACGATGTCTTAATTCTCTGAAGTTTTCAGTCATTTTCTGGTACCGATCAGAGCCCTTATCTGAATACGTTTCCCCCCAGATGCCCTTTCCTGCTTGATGGCAAACTGTCAGTATGGCTGTGATGTGCTGAAAGGGGAAGTGCACTGCCGCTGTCCATCTCCAGGACTACAGCTAGGGCCTGATGGCAGGACTTGCATAGGTAGGTGATCACGTGTAGGTTAATTTTCTTTTTTTCTCCAAAATGTTTTTATCCTTACACTGAATGCAGTTCAAGGGAGTTTATCAGATAGGTATATTTAGCATGCATCATACATGCAGTTTAAAGATACTATTAATGGGATCTGGGACAGGTATGTTGCTCAGGTGCTCTCAGGTGGTCTGTGTCAGAGATCACCAGTGCTTGCCTACAGTCCTGCAAGTTTCACTGTCTGCTTAAAACCCACACAGGCTGCATGGTATCCAAGCTGTCGGCCCTTACCACTCTTGTCACTGGGTCATTTTAAACTGTTTCTAACAGAGACTCCAGAATACCAGCCTACAAAAAACAAAAAGGGGAATGGGGAGGTCATTTCTCCCGCATACCCAACAGGGTAATGCCTAGGCTCAGGGAGTGGAGGGATTTGTGTTAATCATTGAAATTATTCTTGGATAAGGTGAAGGTCCGTGCACACTCCCAGTATTAACGGAATTGAAGCTACTGTCTTTCTTCCATACTGTGAAAGCTCCAGATTAAAATGAACTCAGGAATTCAGACTGTCTGAAAGTGAAATGTTTTGTTCCCACGTTCAAGAACATGGAAAAGGTGCTTATGATTAATCAGAGTGTATTGTGCCACACTCTACTATGGTCTGAAGAACAGTGTGACATGTGATTTCATTAGTCATTAACTATACATCCTGAGTGGATATGATGCTCCAGTGATTTTATTATTTATATCTTATGCAGTTCTACAGTTTCACAGCCATTAACAACGTTTGGACTGAAAGAATATAAGAGAATGTGGATGCCCTAATCATCTATGTTGCTATCATGGCTGTCTATAGGGGAGGTGGTGGTTTGCCAAGTGGCTGACCCATGCTGACCAAGAATCTGTTGGCAGAGCAAGGGACCAATTCTAGATCTTCTGATGTTAGGAGCAGTCTCAGCTCTAAGTCAGAGGCTTTCTGAAGTGCATGTTTAGCATGTCTGTCTATGCAAAAGAAAGGGATGAACAGGAGGAAAAACCCATCATTGCAACACACTGAAGGGACTGAATTGTGATTAATCACTGTAGACATTACGGCAGAGATCTTTGAAGAGGCTTGTGCCATGCCATAGTGAGCTGAATGATTTAACTACAAACTCAAGGAAATTATATCAAGTACAGGAATTTACCAGAAAAATACTTGCAAGATCCTTTTACTCATTTTTATATTCAGGCTAACTTTATACTTTGAAATCAAGTGTGCTTTCAGTGCGGAAGACTGCCACTCAAACCAGTTATGTGAAGCTCTTTCAGTTCTTCATTGTAGTTTTTAAAAGAATACTCCCCCCCCCCCCCCCGAAAGGTGAAGAACCAGTGTATCCACATTTAGTTGGGTGTGCATCATTCAGACTGAGCTCATAAACTAGTTTTTAAAAGTTCCCAAAGAACCTTCAGAGCAGCCTTGTACAAGGCAGAGAAAGTAGTCACAGCAAGAGATGTCTGACTGTTCTTCATGGGTCATAACATGATCTACTCCCATTTTTGGTAAGAAGCCACCGTGACATGCACCCTTTTTGTTCTTTCTCAAGTTTGAGTTGTAGTAAATACCTCCAGGAGTTGAAGCTATCTGGGACTATTAACTGTGCCTTTTCCTCACATGTGTACAAGTCCAACCCTGTTGGGGAGGTTGTCAGCTCCAGCGAGGGTCTGGATATTGCTGCAATGAAACAGAAATATAGATGATGGTAAAAAAACTTTAAGTGTGCATTGGCTGCAGCTCATAAAATCCTTGTTTGAGGAGAGTCTGAAAGACAGCTGGGAATGCAATGCTTATTTTTAGCACAGGTGGAAATTCCTCTAGGCATTATTCTACTCTTAGTTTAACCCGTGCTGATCATTCTCTTGTTGACATGTTCCCTCAAGACAATCAGTAAAAAGCCACAAAACAATATAACTATGAAGGTAAATCATATAAACTAAGTAATGAATTGAAAAATAATCCAGCAAAGTATTGAGTTAAAAAAATGGATTAACTGACTAATTGACTCTTGAGTCAACAAATCAATCAGTGTTGCCAGCTTTTTGGATTGGGATTTTCATTTAATTAAATTAAGCAGTTTACACATTTTCAGAAGGTCTGAGATTATTTGAGGATTGAAAATAATGATTTTTACTGTAAAATAAATTCTTACTAGTTGTTTTGTTTGTGTAAAGACAAAAATATGGCTTTAAATTACTATATTAAAATCAATCTCAAAGTTGTTTAAAATTTGTGTTGGTAATATGGTCATAGTCACAGCCAAAGAGAAGCAAGACTTTGTAATTTGGCTTCTTTGTTGAACACTGACCATCACATTCATTAGGTGCTGCCTGTATTATGTGCCTTTGGAATGGTTCCCTGGCTCAAGTCTGGGTGTGCACCTCTGTGGTAGACCAGGCTGAGATGATGAGAATACAAATCACTCCTTCATGCCCTGGTTTTCTTAGGGAGCAGGTACGAGCCACAGCATGTTGCAGCAGACAAAACAGCCTTACACCATTTGTGTCCAGGTGTGAATTGGCGTGGGTCCATTGACTTGAAAGAAGCTACAGTCACTGTATCTGAGAGTATTTGAGAACTGCAGGAGACCAATTTGTAATCACTTGAATACCATCTTCTAGCTAATGATTGAAAGTGTTTTTTCCACTAGTAACGAGCACCCACACACCTCTCATAATAAATGCAAGTGGTAGACTGTTCTATTTTCCACTATTTTTGTGTCACTTTTCAACAGTGTATTGGTTAGCAGTTCAGTCCTGTATCGTTAGGATGTGTAACTGCTGAGAAAATTAAACAGTACCACTACAGTGCTCTTAGCATCTAACATACCTCTTGCCCTATGGGAATTTACATAAGCATGAGTATGCACAGAGGGAAGACAGACAAGCTACATTTGGTTTGAAAGAACATAATCCCTGCCATGATGAGGTCTATTCAGCAGCTAATCTTGTTACTAGATTGTTTTTTGAAGTTGTGGTTTAAAGAAAACAAAAGCCCCAACAAAGAACCACAACTAAACAGCAATCATGAGTCTGAAATTTGCAGCCTTGAAATAACATTTTAATAAAGGGTAGAAAATCGTGGCTTGTAAATCAAATGGCACTGAGAAACATCATAGGATTTGTACAACTGTTAATAATGTACTCAAAGACTAAAACGTTAATAATAAATTCAAATCATGAGGCAGTTTTATAGGGACATTCAGGCATGTGGAAAGATGCCCAGTACTGGCCTTGTTTTCTTTCTCATTCAGGCCTCTGCCACGGCATTGCAGAAGTACTCTCTATGGGGAGTAAAGGAGAGCTACTATGTCAAAGCACTCTGCTAGGCCAGGAGCATGGGAGCTCAGGGGATGAATCCTTGCTGTACTCAGTAATTCTTCATGCAAAGTGGGACAGTGCCAGCAGGAGCCACTGGGCAAGCCCATTTAGCCAGTGATTCATGGCTTTAGGTCACTTCTCTTGGCTGTGGGAAACACAGCTTTGGAAATTTTGAAGCTACATCTCCCCTGTCTTGAGTAGCTACCCCTAAGCAACTGGCAGGTTTGTGGTAATGTTTTTTCTCTGCAGTGCAAGAAACTCAGGCTTCTCTCTGCCTTGTTCAGGCCTCTTAAACAAGTAGCAGGGAATCAATCACTCAGCTTTGTTTTGCACTCTTGACACCTGCAGCTGAAGTGCTCCTTTTGAGAAAAGAATTGCATTGAGAAAACCTTGCTTCCGCATAGATCAAGAGCCTGATAGAGCTGCAGAGCAAAGGCTTGAACTGTGCCCTGTAGATAACTAACAGACATCAGGAACGGCATGCGTCAGAGGCAGCCGTGCGTGGCAGGTCTCAGCCTCAGTGAAGAATTTGGATTTAAGCACTCAGCAGGCTTCAGCTCAATGTACAAGCGCTACGAAGTGAGTGGTAGCTCAAGCAGCTTTTGTCTATCAGCCTGACCTCATCTGAGAGTTTCCTAGACAGTGAAAGCAGCACTTAGTGAGCATGAGCTGTTCCCTGGGCCTCTGCTTGGCTTGTTAGTCAGCATGAAGAGCAGCGGCTTCTGGGAGGTGAGGAGCACCAAGCTTTTATTGAGCATCACCTGTGTCTTCCCACTCCTCTGTCCTTGTGTCCTGGGTTCAGCAGTAGCAGTCATTTTTCTCTTTCTTGGTAGCTGGTGCAGTGCTGTGTTTTGACTTTCAGCTGGGGACAGAGCTGAAAAACAATGATGTTTTGGTTTGGCCAAGGACTTTGTAGGCTTCATGCTCTGCCAGGGAGGAGGGGAAGCCGGGAGGAAGCAGAGACAGGACACCTGACCCAAACTGACCAAAGAGGTATTCCATACCACAGCACGTCATGCCCAGGATGTAACTGGGGAGTTACCTGGAAGGGCTAGGTGGACTGCGTTGGTGCTTGATCGGGCTGGGGGTGCAAGTTATTGGTCGCCTGGAGATGGGGTGTTGTATTCTCTTCCCTTGTTATTTCCTTTATCATTACTATTATTGGTGGCAGCAGCAGTGATTTGTGTTATACCTTGGTTACTAAACTGTTCTTATCTCAACCCGTGGGAGTTGCATTTCTTTTCGATTCTCCTCTCCGTTCCCCCAGGAGTAGGGGGAGGGCAAGAAGGGTGGGGAGTGGGTAACAAGCTGTCTGGATGGGTTTAAAACACGACACCTTGCCTGGACGTTGCTGAAGCACTGCTTCAGGTCCTGCTGGGACCTACTGACTGGGCAAGGGGGAGCTATGTATCTCAGCACCTCAGAGAGGTATTAAGGTCACTTAGCCAACTTCTCTGTGAGAGAGGGGTCTGCTACAGTGCAGGCACTGTGCAGGGTAAGAGATTGCAAAGAGCACGTACTCAAAAAGCATTTTGCCTGTGGCAGGTAATTGGTAGGAGATTCAGAAATACTGCACCCCCGGCATTAGCTTGAACTCTCTTTGTTTAGAGCAAGTCCTGAGCAGATGAAGATTTCCTGATAGGCAGGTCATGGATTAGGGACACCTGAGATTTTAAAAACATGAACCACTTACTGCTGCAGGGTGATACACTTTGAATATGCCTGTATGATCTGTGCTACAGGAACAATATTCCAGGCATGTTTCAGAAAATGAATTACTGGGGTAGTTTTTATTATTGTTCCTTGCCTGTAAATCCAGGTGCTGCCTTTATAACTGGGCAGGGCTTGGTGGGAGAAAAGAAAGCTATAGAAATAACAAAAAATAGGTTTTCTTCAAACAAATACTGTTAAAGTTTCAAGGAAGGGTTTAGAGGCTTTGAGGAAGCTTTTGTGCATTCTGTGAGGAATTGGAGAATGTCTCCTCTCCAAGGAGAAGGGTACCAAGATGGTAAGAGCATAGAGCAAGCATTCCAAATTCAGTAGCAGTGCTTGTTATGCCAGTGTATCTCTTGTCATTCACGGTATTTGTAAAGGCTAGTGGCACTGGAGGCATAAAAATTTGAGCACGTGACCAAGAGGTGAAGTGAGATGGCACAGCCAGAGGCATTGGTGAGATATCCCTGCTGGCTGGCCACTGTGTAGCCAAAAAGACCTTATAAAAAATACTTTGCCTATTTAGGTTTTCATTATGTGAAACCAGTTTAATTTAGACAGTATGGATTGTATTTTAACTGCTATTAAAAATAATTCAGTTCCTTTCTTTTCACAGATATTGATGAATGTGCTACTGGGAGAGTCATCTGTCCACAATTTAGGCACTGCGTCAATACTTTTGGAAGCTACATTTGCAGGTGTTATAAAGGATTTGATCTAATGTACATCGGAGGCAAATACCAATGCCATGGTACTAACAACTTATTATGTGCATGTAATAGAGCTGCATATTCTAAACTGAAATAGAATGTTTACTTACTCTGGTTGAAATGTTGAAGCAGGTTGTTTTAGTTGCATTGCACCTCATTTTAGGAATGGGTGGATTATAGAAATAGTCCATGAAAAAGAAAGCATGTATTTGGCCTGTGTATTCTTGTAACTGGTTCTCCTGTGGAAGCTAGTGGGAGAACAGAGCTGATGACCTCAGGAATTCCTTTCCAAAGGCTTTGTCCCCACAAGTTTCACTGTGCACAGGCAGTTCTGGGTCTGAAGCAGCGTATGAGCTTAGGCTATGTCTAGGTATGTACACTGTAACATGCCCCAAGATCTAAGATAAGATGAGGTGGCTAGAGCAGACCCCACCTCCTTCCAAACCTGGCTGCCCAACTTTCTTTCCCCTGAAGACAGGTGGGGAAGAGGCAGGGGCTAGGAAACAACCTGTCTTTGGACATGAGACTGGAATGTAGCTGGTGTATGACCTTCAAGAAAGATGTTCCCAGATCCCATTGTCTTAGTTTCCCAGTGCCTCGACTGGTTATGATCCTTTCACTGAAAAAAAGATCATGTGGAGACAATGAGGCATTGCTTTACGTTTGTTTAAATTTATTTTTTCAAGAGAAATCTCAGTGCAGAGGACTGGAATTTGGGGATTTTGCTTTCATCACCAACAGCAAACATGGAAATGCCATATGAGAAATTTCCAGCATTTTCTACTTGATGTAGAAACATTCTGCACAGATGTAGAATAGAGGAAGCATTTAATGAAAAACTGTTTTGATGCCTGTGTGATTAAGAACATACAAATTCCTATACTCAGTTTTTCTCATGTCACCTGTAGAAGTGTTTCTTAAAATCGTGATCTTCGTGATCTCAACTGCAATCTACCCACATAACTGAAACTGATGCTAAGATACAAGCTGAGCAATACCAGAGTTGCACAATAGTCCCTTTTACCCTCGCATTTGTATCACCACATTGATTTGTGACTATCTTCCATTTCCCACTGGCAATTCAGTTTTATTAAACTTTTCAAAAGTAATACTATATTCCTAATGACCATACTGCTATGTTTTTGCAGGGGAAAGTCAAGTTTCTTTGATGTAGATGATTTTGTATGTAACTTTCTGTTGCAGATATAGATGAATGTTCCCTTGGCCTCCATCAGTGTGGTAGTTTTTCACGATGTTACAATATCCCAGGATCCTACAAATGCAAGTGTAAAGAAGGGTACAGAGACAACGGAACAAGCTGCATACGTACGTAATGCTCCTTTGAAAAGAAAGGAATTCTGAGAGTAAATGTGTCCTATGTTGTAATTCTTGAGATACAGCACTATCAGGCTCAGTTTCTCTTAACTATTCTTAATACTTGATAAGGGGCCAGGGAATGTAGTCAGGGTTTTCTGAGTCTTAGCATGCTGTGTTAAAAATACCTTTCCCTGAGATATTTTCATAATTAGAAAGAAATTCACCTCTCCCTGTTAACAGCTGGATTCTAGAGATTGCTTCAGGATGAGAGTAACTGGGTAAGCAGGGTAGGTCTGGTTAAACAGTACATATTACTCATACTTTGGTGTTAGGTGCAGGTGCACTCTGCAACTGGCCCATTTCAGCTGCTTACCCCACCCACACCCCATTGCTCCCCAGATGTGAGCAGAGCTGAGAGGGAGCATTTCTCTGGACAAACTCCCTGTTGGAAATTTCCCTTCCTCACCTTTCTCTTAGGAGAAGCAACCACCCCTTTTGTACAGAATAGGCCGTTGGAGCTCCCCCACATGACTGTCCCCAGACTGTGCAGCTCTATGATATCTGCTTAATCTTTTTAAGAACCCTGGGTTCATACCAGGGTTTTGGTCTTTGGTGACTCACTGATCTCTTTGAAGAGCAGTACCATTGCTGACTTGTTTCTTTCAGCTATAGCTGTGTTATGGTGATGTGTTCTGGCTAAGGTGATTTTTCCCAACCTGAGTGCTTGCAATTGTATATGGAGACACTTCACATGTGTTACTGGACACAGTCTCAAGGTGCATTTTATATTTTAATGTACCATAATGTAAAACCTGCAGGGTATTTATTCAGAAGAATGGTAATAAACAGGTGGCCAGAGAGAAAACCTTTTAACCTACTATCATCAAACAATTAATTATTCACAAACTATTTCTTCATTTTAGCTGTGAGTTATACTTGAAACACTTGTACACAAAGTACGTGACTGGAGTTCTTACTGGGGCTTTTAAGATCTCCGGTGAGGCATAAAGGCTTGTACGCAAATAGAAAATGATAAATAACAAAACAGATCTTGTGTTTCATGTCTGCAGAAACTGCTCTTGTGAAACCAAGTTAAAATTTGTTGTCCTTTCTTTGTGGAACACCGGTGAGATGGTACTTTAGGCACTGTCACTGCTGTGTAGGTTGTGTTCAGTTTACCTTTACTTCATGGAGGTTGAAAAAGTGTCATTTACTTAGTGTCCTGGTGTTTGGCAAAGGGAAGGATCTAAATGAAGGCTATTGGCTTAGGTTTAATCTCTGTAAAATGATTAATGCTTACTGACAAGGAGAAAAGTTTAGAAGAAGTGGGGGGTCTGAAAGATAACTTTCTTAAGCCAAACCTATATGCCCATCCATGACTAAAGTAGTTGTAACACTGGAGTCTTACTAAACTTGCCTCTGCTCCTGAGTACAAACTTGTCCAGTTTAGAGGGCTGCCTAAGACTCATCTTCCTGTCCATGCGTTTTTACTAACAGTGCTTCTGGGTAAGTTTTGCCAGCACTTCCAGAGAGTTGATGCTTGGGAGGAGGTGGGGATGGCTTTCAGCCATTCTAAATCATCCTAAACTGGTGTAATGAGAAGTGCTTTCTAAACAGATGTGATAATTCAGCAGTGCTGATGCCAAAGTATGTTTCTAAGTAGTGGAAACATTCAGAAGAAGAAAAATTGTTTCAGCAAAGACTCTTGTGTCATAATGAACCATGTTTCCAAAGGAGAGACTCAGATGTCCATTTTGGTCCCATTTTGGTTCTTTTTGCAGTTATCCCTAATGTTATGATTGAACCACTTGATCCATATCATATAATCAAAGACAACAGCATGCTCCCGAAGGGAGACAGTGGTATAACCAATAGGATTCCTGATGTTGGAGGCACAGGGCAACCCCTCAGACCACCATATGTACCTGCTCTTGTTACAGAAAGACCGGTGGTCAGACCAACAACTCAACTTACACCCAGGCCAACGACTCGACCTACACCCAGGCCAACGACTCGACCTACAACCAGGCCAACGACTCGACCTACAACCAGGCCAACGACTCGACCTACACCCAGGCCAACGACTCGACCTACACTCAGGCCAACGACTCGACCTACACCCAGGCCAACGACTCGACTGACAGCAAGGCCAACCACTAGGTATGTGCCCGTGACAACAAGGCCAGTGACAAGGCCTCCACCTCCAACACCACCTCAACCTACAACATTAAGACCTACACTACCACCACAAACAACTCCCCTGATAACAACTGAAGAGCCTTCACATATTCCTATTGAAACTACATCTTCCCAAGGAATTACAGATGACAACAGGATCCAGGTAGATCCCCAGAAACCCCGAGGAGATGTGTTCAGTAAGTAATTTTATATATACTTTCATTTATCAGAATTGTAGATGTGGTGAGGTGAAAGAATGCATATACTGTTTGAGGTTTTTGGAACAATTTATCAGTGAGAACAAAGACATGAAACTGAAAATGGTCATAAGGTAAAGCTGCACAAATGATTTCATTACCTACCAAAAATGTGGGGAGAAAGTTCTGAATCAGTTCAACCAAAACTTTCATTTTTCTTTTCTTCCTGTGATTATTTGTGAGTATATTGTCTTGTATAAGCGGTTAACCTGATTATGCCTGCAGACACAAGTTTTGGAGAAATTAAAGACATCTTACTGAAGAGTATTGAAATGCAACATAACTCATAAATGATAAATGGATTAAAATTCAGGGAGTTGGGAGTCACTCTTGGCATATTTCCTTACCTTTAAGAATGGTAAGAAGTGGGAGCATGTTTGATTACCTAAAGACTGTTATATCACCTGTACTGTATAAATTCAGATAGGTTTGGATGTTTATGACTAAGCAATGGGTTTTGCATAAAATTGCATAAAAATAACAAGAGGCTAATTTTATAGACCGCAGCTATGAAAACAGAAACATGAAAAACTGAAGATAGTAAAGCTTTTCATAGCATGAACACATATCATTTTAAGAGCTTCTCTGAAATCAGCAGCACCATTTCTACACCAGCTTCAGTGCATACCACAGAAGACATTACTGGCATATGCAAGAGCTACACATATCTGCCAAGAAATACTCAACACCCGATTTCTGCATCTAATTTTAGAGCCAGGGAGGGTGGTTGGATCAGTCCTTCTCGTTCAGCTTGTTGTACAATAAAGCTGATGAAGTGATGTAGTAGGAGGCAAAGTTTGCTGTCTCAGAGCAGGTGTACAAGCAATGTGGGAGTGTTTTTCCGGTTGTTTTGGCATCTGTGCAGTAACTTCCTGGGCTATGTTCTCGTATGTTATTACACAGGGAGACTTTTTGTTCCTTGTGACAAATGGTTTGTTTTCCCTGTTGACATTTATCTATTGCAGACAGTTTGGTAAATTTAAAATAGAGACAGAAGCTGACATAGAATTTGGGAATCTAAATCCTGGTACTACTCATAGGAGTGTGCTTTTGTTTTTTTCAAGGTTATTTTTTAAACAATCTATATTCAGTTAGAAGTATAAAAACATCTTTATGAAAGATTCCTAAAACTCAATATAATGGGAACCAGTCATTAAAAATACAGAATTCTGTGGCAATTATTCTGGTCTCTACTGTTACACTTCCCAGGTGTCTCATGTTGCAAGTGTTATCTTGAATTCTTAATCAGAGGGATAGTTTTAAGCTATTTTCATGGAGTTATAACAATCCCCTATATAAAGCTTATCATGTACAATTAGTCTTTCTGGATTGTTCTTAGAGGCTAGATTTTGAAGCTAATGCTTTCAGTACATATGCTTCAGATACGGGGGTTTGGGAAGCAGGAAAAGTGGAAGTGTTTTAAGTTTGGTTTCTGACTGTAAGTTTACATTATGGTATATATAACAAACATGGCAAAAAAATAATCTTTGCAAAGTGTTTATCAACTATTTAATTAGGTTAGCTGCCACCCTTTGAGGTTGGTGATATACATAGCTTCAAAGGTCTTCATGCACAATACAGAAGGATTTCATCAGGTCAAGCTCCTGCAATTGTTACTGGCCTCAGTAGGTAATACAGGGGCAGACAGCTCCTCAGATCAAGTCAACAGATACGTGTCATTAATCCCATATTATTTTTGCTATTCTGTGCTAAAGATATATTTGATACACACATGTGACATAACTGTGTGACTAAAGGCGTACCCCACGTGTGTTCTAGATTATAGGAGTTTGCATGATGCTAGTAATGTGATCCTTAATGAAGCTGATGCCTTTCCTTCTCTCTCTTTTATCTCTTATTCTCTCCTTTCCACTCTTTTCCCCCCCTTTTTAACTTCTGGCCACTTTGAAAGTACCATATAGGTAGTCACTTAGTCCCCTCCCACTTTCTTGCTGGCATTTATATAGTGAGTGCATAAAATCCTTTGTTTAGCATGTGAAACCTACAGCTGGGTGCAAACCAGTTCTGTTCCAGAAGAATGTGCTACCATGTCAAGGAAAGCACTGCTTGTAGAGTAAGGTATTAATTCGTCCACTGAATCCTGTTACTGTAGGAGTTTGTGGGGAAGAGAACTAGGACTTCAGTTTTGTACAATATTCAAAAGAATTATGGCTGCTTCCTCATGTGTTGCCAAGGGCTGTTGTGTCCCAGAGATAGAGTTGTTGTATCACAAACAGTAGCATTTTATCACATAAGGATGAGCAAAACCCAGCACAGAGAGTACTGTAGCCAGCAACCACCAGCAATTCTGATCTTCCAGCTCTTAGAATCTGCTGAGGACCTCAGTATTTGAAGTTGTGGTTTTAAACCAGATTATCTTATGATGCATGGATTTATTCCTTCCTTTTTTTTTTCTCCCTCAGGCTCTGAAGTCTTAGCCAGACTTTGATAAAGCAGCAGGATAGTAAATGCTGCATTGTGTAGTGATCTGAATAGGTGGTACTTCTGTTAGGTAATCCATGGCAAAGGGGGTGTTGGTGCACTGTGTATTAGCACAAGTGTACTAGCACAGTAAACCAAATCCTGCAAACATACTTGGTGGTCTAGGACTGATCCACATCAAATCTCTCAAACCTTGAGTTTTCACTGTTTAACCCTTGTTCTGAGCTTACCCTTGGTGACTCCTTATTTTCTCCATTGCTGTTTGACCTGCAGTCCCACACGCTGAGTAAACTTGTCCTAAGCATTCACTTCAGAGCACTCTTGAATGTGCTGCTCAGCTTGAAATCAGTTGAGGACCAGTGAAATTGGTCTGTTCAGTGGCTGCAAAGAGCACAAATTATAATAATGCTGATAATATTATCTAAATGCCTTTGCAGTTTTTGAAAGTTACTGGGTTGTTGCTTTTCTTTAGATGCTTTACCCCTTTCTAATGAATCTGCAGTGACTTTGGGGAGCTCCTTTTTAGAGAACAAAAAAATGAATATTTTTGAAAATTGAATTCCTACACTTGGCCTTTGAACCACTTAGTCAGATGCAGACAGTGGAATCTGGCACCAAGGATAATCTTCTCCTGATATGGATACGGGGGAACGGCAATGAGGGAGGAATGCAGCAATAGCTTAATATTTAACTATTTCAGGGCTGACAGAAACTACAGTGAGGTACAGAAGAATCTTTCCTGGTTACTCCGATGGATAAAGTCTCTAACAGATAGAACAAACTGCTCAATAAGACTATGAATTTCTGCTGCCATCAGGATTTGCATGAGAAGATTGAAAAGCGTAAACTTAAAGAATAATATGAGATATCAGCAGACCAAGAACAAAACCCCTTATCATTCTTTGGAAGCTTTCCTTCTTAGCTACTAAAAGCTAAGAAGGAGCAGAAAAGATTGGAATTAGGAGACTTTTCTCATAACGGCTATTAAAAAATTAAAGATTGGATTAAAACTTGATTCTTTCTGATCCCCTTTCAATTACTGAAAAGTCCTTAGTATAGTAAATACAGTTACGTGAGCTGAGAAAGTTGGGGCTGTTCAGCCTGGAGAAGAGAAGGCTGCGTGAGACCTCATAGCAGCCTTCCAGTATCTGAAGGGGGCCTATAGGGATGCTGGGGAGGGACTCTTCATTAGGGACTGTAGTGACAGGACAAGGGGTAACGGGTTAAAACTGAAACAGGGGAAGTTTAGATTGGATATAAGGAGGAAATTCTTTCCTGTTAGGGTGGTGAGGCACTGGAATGGGTTGCCCAGGGAGGTTGTGAATGCTCCATCCCTGGCAGTGTTCAGGGCCAGGTTGGACGAGGCCTTGGGTGATATGGTTTAGAGCAAGGTGTCCCTGCCCATGGCGGGGGGTTGGAACTTGATGATCTTAAGGCCCTTTCCAACCCTAACTATTCTATGATTCTATGATTCTGTGATTCTTGAACCTGTTGAAAAAAAGGGAAACGCTAAAAGCAAAGAATGCGAGGAGGTTTTATTCAATGACACCATTAGAGTAGCATCATTTTGCAATAGTATTTTGTCTTCTCTTAAAGAAGATATTTACGAAATACATAATACATCTAATAAAATGTATTTGTCTTAATGTTTAAACATTTAAGATGATAGGTGCTTTGCTCCTGTTTGTAATCTGGACCTAAACCATAAGATCTAGGAGTCATACAAATGACACCTTCTGTCAACCTTGCAGCTAGATCTGATACTCAAGCTTCTGTAGACTACTTATTTTAGCTGTGTTACCTTGGAATTCAGTTGGCACTTTTGCACCTCCTGAATAGCTGCTCATAGAAAAGCACAAAGGTTACTTTTGGGAAAATCTTCTGGAAAGAGAAGTCATAAAATGTTTGGTTTAGGTAAAGTTAATGAGCCTTGTAACTGCCCAAGAAATGCTAAATTGGACTGCAGAATGGTTGCACACTAGCACATCTCTCCCCTTACGCGCAGATGGTACTGTAGGGTGAGTCAGTTCACAAAAGCCCTTTCTGAAAGAATTCCTACTGCAGAATTAGAGCCTGTGGAGTTTTAGGCAACGTATCCTGGATACTGCGGGTGTCCAGATAAAACGGGTGAAGTGTAACTCTGTTGCCCTTCTTTTTAGCCCAGCATATCTCCGTGTCTTCCCTGGAGGAACACAGGACGTATTCTTGTTTACCAAGTCTGACTGCCCTCTGGACTACCCTTCCTTTTAGCTATTTTCTGCTAGTTCTGCGTGACATCTCATCCCTTGTGGGGTTTTTTGGGGGGGGAGTAAAATTTAACAACTTTCAATTGTAACTATTCAGAAATCTTTGTCCTTTTTTTGGTTGTTTTTAACAACTGGGAAGCTTGGTCATGATTCTTGCGTGGAATGGAATTGCGTAAGAACACAGTGATTGTTGTAAGGCAGAACACTGCATTCTTAATAGGTAATTAATAATAATTATTGCTAACATGAAGCTGCACTGCACATTTTGTTCTGGGTTTGTAATACCAAACCAGTGCTTATTCTGTATTTACAGATAACGTGAGACATACACACTGTCTCTTATACCCCCAAACTGAGCAGTTAGCAAGGAAATGAAACAAGAAAGTTCTACTGTCTACTGTTTTCCCAAAGGATTAAGAAACTGAAAAGAAAGCAGTCTTATGCAGTTATTAAATGTTCTCCCCCCCGCATTCATGTGTCTGCGAAGAACTTAGCTCATGAACTTTGAGAATATGGTAGTGTTGATGTATTGGCTCACTCAAAGCTTAGAAAATTCTCCAAGAAACAGAGGCCAAGTTTATATTTAACAAGCTTTATCAAACCATTGAAGTTAAGTGAAAAGCACACTGATATGCTATATAAAGTACACAGAAACGGCTTGGAAAGCTTGCAGAAAATAATTGAGCCAAATACTCTCTCCCACAGTCGCCACTCAACATATTAGTTATTGCAGCAAAAAAGAAGTGTACACATGAGTTGTATTTAGAGTCCTGCATCTCTCATGGTAATTCTTGTTTTGTACCAAGTGCACATTCCTTTAATTGGGTCTGAGCACTGAAGTGAGTGTTTTAAAGCTTTGCAACACATTCTTCTACAACAGTGTTTGGGGAGGAATTTAGGGAAAAGTTTTGAAGAAATACTTTTTTGTGGAGCTTTAATTATAGGCAAAGGTGTCAACTTTCATTTGGAGAAGGCTGGTGTGTGTGCACGGATGTATAAAATAGCAGTGCATTAGAAAGGAAGATAGTATTTGTGCATGAAGGTACTGCACACGTGTAAGGTTTCTTCATGTTGATTTCAAAATTCTAATCATTTAAGCAAAAACAATAAAAAAATCACATTAAACAAAGCCACAAAAATACTGTTGCAAACAATGAACATGCCGTTACTGCCCAAGCCAACCTGAAGTCCTCGAGGCTGTGTGAGCATCAATACCCTAGACTGCAAAGAGACATAATCCAAAATCCACAAAGGATTAAAAAAGTAGATGTACTGATTCTTAAAATTACTATAATATTAAGGTGTTAATTGGTTTCCTACAGACTCCAAGCATTTTATTTATTTAATTATACAAAATTTCCATCCAAGCTCTGTAGCCTGTAGTATTACTTTTAAAATACATTAGCATTTAGTCAACCTTTTTATCAGGCTGCTTATTTTGTCCTAATTCCAGAAAGGAAGAAGGTCCTCAATTCTTGTTTTTTGTTTTCCTCTGTCTCCTACCTGTAGAAGAGCTCTTGCAGTGGTGCTATTTCATGTTCTCCTGGTGCAAAAGAAGTTCCTTCTTACCTTTGATTTGATTTCCTGAAAACAAGTCTTTTATTTCAGTTTGGAATTGTAAATCATCGCAATTCTTGTTCTCGCTTGCCTAAGCAGCCTATAAGGACATGAAGAGACTTAGTTTAGCAATGCAAATGGAAAATGTGTCAGGTTTTTAATATATATGTCACTTACAAATACTCTAGGTGCCAGAGGTAACATCTAAGGACATGCCTGAATTACTACAGTTGTTAATTATGCACTAGACCTGCCTCTAAAAGAGGAATTTCCAAGACAGCTCTATCCAGTGCTATCTGTTTATCTCTAGTTGACAGCTGTCCATCAGGCATGACATCAGTTTGTTGTTTCTGGAGACGTAGCCTGATACAGGATCTTCAGCAGTAAGTGGAAGCCTTTGCAACCATCTGTCTTTGGCAGCCATTGTTCCCAGAGAGACCTCTTGAATTTCAGGCTGTCCTGGCTGCTGAATGCTGGGCCTGTTAACCATGGAGAGGTTGCTTCTCCTACAAGCTGAGAACAGCAGCTGAAGAGGCTATGCTGGAAAGCACAAAGTATGATTAAGGTTGTGTCCACCAGCTACCAAGAAGGAGGAAAAAAATGACTGCTGCTGCTAAACCCAGGACAGGTTGAATTCCAGCTTCCATTAGAGCCCCTCCTCCTCAGCTCTAAGTGCAATCCTGACCAGGATTTAGGGAGCTCTAATTCTTTGCAGCTAGATGGGTGTACGTTCACTGGTGCACATATGGGCCCCTCCAAGTACAAGCCTTTTGTTGAGATTCTCCTGTAAACATCTGTGGAAGGTGAGTGGATCAGAAGTTTGGATAAGGCCTTTAGTATGGCTTTATTTTATTGAGAAATCATTATATTTAAAAGAGCATTTGGAGAGGAATAGTGTGCTTCAAGATTGAAAAGCTTTTTCCTTTCTTTTTCTTTTTTCCCCGGTTAAAAAGGAGCTCTCATTTGAAGAGCCTTTAGCCGATTTGGAATCACCTTTAACAGTGCCAAGGTAAATGTTAGCATGTAAATCATAAATCACATAGGCAGAAAGTTTATGAATCTTCATGTCAAATATAATTAAATATATTGAATTCTCCACGAGAAGCACAATGCTCAGAGCTGCTCTGCTGTTTTTTACTGAAGATAAGGCAGTAGGTTACTAACCTCCTTTATCTCATTCATTTCTGAAAACCTACTTTCCTCACAGTTCCACGCCAGCCTGGAGTGAGCAATAATCTGTTTGAAATACTTGAAATTGAAAGAGGGATTACTGCTGATGAATTTGAAGCAAACGATGACCCAGGTAAAGCTCATGTCTCATGTTCAGGGCCTAGGGTTTAGGATTTGTTGAGGTTTCTTGGGGTTTTGTATGTTTTTACAGGACTCCTACGTCTTATGCCACTTTTTTAAACTATGCTTTAATAAAAAGAAAAAACCCACCACATACATGAACCTTTGTAGTTTTATTTCCTAACAGATTTAGCACAAAAATAGTGTGAATTGTTAATAACAACACTAACATCCTTTTTATTGTTTTAGTTTTTCTTCTGCTGCATTTAATTTTCATACTTAGTTGCTGGTGTCAGCCACAAGTGAAATTGCAGTAGTTTCTCAAGCAAAACGATCCAAATAATTGTATTTTGGGGATTTTTACGGTGTTTTTGACTCATTTCTCTGTTGTGTCTAGGTCCGCTGATACACAGCTGTAATTTTGACAGCGGACTGTGTGGATGGATCAGGGATAAAGAGGATGATTTGCACTGGGAGCCAGTGAGAGATGCATCAGGTAAGATACCTTTGTACAGTCACATCCTGTAGCGAAGAACCACCTAGGCTTGGGCTGATGACAATTGTCGCATTATGATGGGTTCACACAGCTTCTTTTCCCTCTAATTCTAGGACATATTTCACACTCCCACCTCTTCTGTGTGTGAAAATCAGAACTGAGGATTCCCAACATGAAAGAGCAATTGAGAATTTATGCTTTTATCATACCTCGTATCTTCACAACAGAAATGCCTCTGAAGGAATAGAAAATGTATTCAGTAAGAGGTTATCTGTCTTAAAAGAATCAAGAAGAACACAAATGTAGACTAGAGAACAACTTATTTACGGAGAAACAAAGCTTATTTTTCAAACCACCATGCAAACATAATTATTTCCGTACTACTAACAAAATCCCAGAATGTGCTGGGAATAGTCTTTGTTCTGCTGCCAAATATAATGTTCTACTTTAACCTCTCAGTTTGATTTTATTGAATTCTACTCCAAGTTAGAGCAACATATATATAGGAAAACTGTTGAGTAACTGGAATGAAGACAAGTTAGGTGCTCACATGCAGAGACTGGGTATGTTTGGGATGGTAAAAAGGGACCTTGCAATGAATATCAGCGGGAGTGCGTACTTGCCACTTGCAGTATAGGTGAAGCCAAAGGAGCAACCACTTGTAATCGCTCACCTCTGCCACTGTAGCTCAGCAGAACTGCACATTTGCACTGTTGGAAGCTGGTTGTACTTTGTCCCCTGCTGATTTTACTGTATGGCACTGAGAGGTTGGTTGTCCCTGCCTGTGAACCCTGCCCCCAGCAGAGCTTGCCCCATAATGCGGGGGATTAGACACACATCTCTGGCTCCCCGTAATGATGGGATTACTTCATACCCAGAAGAGCAGCCTTTGAAGTGCACAATGCTTACATTATGCGAGGGGATGGCGGACTTCGGAAGGAAACATGCTCTCAGGCGGTAAAACGTTACAGGTTAAGTTGAGGGAGGGTGAGGGCACTGAGAGCCATTTCCTTACGCACCACCTCATCACAGATGTGTGCTTTACAGTGCCATTGAGGGCACAGTCATTTGCCACTGCATCAGGTGACCTGGCACCTTTTCCAGGCTGTTTAGCTGGCTAAGTGGAAGTGCTGTCTTCACTGACTGGGCAGGCCCCTCCCCATCACAGGCATGCTCTAGTGTCTCCTGTGCTGCTTACAATGCTTACAAAGTCTCAGGAATGGCTCAGACAGCAGAGCTGCTTCCTCCTGCAGATGAGAGAACAGGCAGCTGTCTCCTGCTTGCAGGCTGGCATTTGTAAAGATCACACGTAATCCAAACATCTCTCAGTAAATGGATTTAAAACCACTTTGAGAAAGCCACTCAAAGCATATTCATTACCTGTGCTCAAAAGTTGCTGTTAATACATATTAAATTCCAGAAGTATGATTTTTAACTGGCTTTTTTTTTTAGCCTTTTTTTTTTTCCCCCTCCTGAGCTGCTTCCCAGCCAGGGACAATCCCAGCTTTTTGTTTCCTGTGTATGTTCTGCTGCTGTTGACATAACCTGTTAAAACTAGTCCCTTGAAGTCAGCCACCCACACCCTCCTGTCTGCAATACCTTGTTGCAAGGATTTATTTTCACAGCTTGTTCCTGAGTGTTTGGTTTCACCTTTCAAAGTTTGCTATTTATTGGTTTATCAGAATGCATTTTGAAAGGTGCCATGCTGAATGAAACCTTACAGGCTTATCTTGCATGCAGAAAATGCTGATGTGAGGGAACCTTTTCTTGCAGGCATATGTTGGCTTTGTGCTTACCTAAATCTGTTTCCCATTGATTGGGTTCGGTCACTGTAACTATCTGAAACAGATGGAGTTAATGAGTTAAGGCAGTAGTTTTGTAGTGATATAATTGTATCTACAACAAACAGGTGCAGTTATTTAAACTCTATTATGCTTATTTTAGCAGTTAGTGACCTTGAGGCAAAACCAATGCATTAAAAATACCCACAAAGAAAACCCCAGCACCAAAAACTGTAACAGCTCCTTGGGCAAATGGATCCCATTTCATGCCCAAATGCAGATCTGGGGGCTCAGACAGCACTATAATACTTTGCTTTATTAAATCTCACAGAGACTGAAGAACTTTAAACCCTGTGTAGTAGTAGGGAATTGGAGACAAGGTTAGCTCTCCTTTTCATTGTGCAACAAACCCTCGGTTCAGTGTCATTAAATCACACCTGAGGAGTGAGGTGGCTTTCAAAAAGGAGTTTTCAAAACCATAAAGCTCTGGTTGAGTAGTAGCAGGGCGACAATTTAAATGAAAAATATTTTTCTATCCTATAATTAAGACTGTGTATGGCAACCCTATTACAACCCCCCAGGATTTCTGTGTCATTAGATTCAACTAAGGAGCCTATCTGCAGACTTTACCTTAAGTTCATTAACCTTAGGTTTGTTGGATGTTGCCATTCCTAGGATCTTCTAATTTTCATGTTTACGTTCTAGGTGTTTTTATGAAGGCACCTTTATTTCATACGTGATCAGAGATAATAATACGGTTTTGAATTAAGTATGGATGTTCAGTGACAACTTACTGTTAGAGAAGACTTCAGGGAGTGTATCAAGTTAACAGCCATTTGGAAAGCAACACTATTTCTAGCTCTCTGTATGTAAACCAGATTAGGAGTTTAAATTATGGTTAAACAAAAAAGCTATCTGTGTTTGCAAATGGATATGCTTTGAGACTTAACTTGCTAATACAATTCCCCACAAAAGGAAAGGGACAGAACCATAGCCCAATTACATGGTATCGTTTATGCTGGCTGCCTCATTCATCTATCCCATAGCAAAAACCTGCAGTTTACAAGGTGTGTAAAAGTACACAGTAGCTTTAATGTCAGTGTGGGTTTGAAACCATGCAGTCACCAAGTTGCTGTCAGAAATGAAGTTTCCATTTTCAAAAGAGCTTTGTAAAACAGAAATTAGATTGGCAAGACCTAACCTGATACTAATGTAAACAGAAGAGTAGCGCTGCAAAAGCCTTACCCTGCAGAAGGCAGGTGCATCAGTTCTGGTTCACGTTCCAGAAACTCTCTGCCTGTTTAAGGCTCACTGGACCTTGTGGAGCCCTTTTTCAATGTTTTGCTTTTTTTAGTGACTCTTGTGCATTTGGTCCTGCAACACAGTAGAATTAAAACCCCCCAGCCACCACAGCTAACTGCTTTTTCTTTTGCAGGGGGGCAGTACCTTACAATCGCTGACCCCAAAGGCAAAGAAGGAAGAGTAGCGCGTCTCATCCTGCCGTTGGGCCACGTGGCTCAGACCGGCGACTTGTGCCTGTCGTTCCGGCATAAAGTGCCTGGGCTGCATTCTGGCACCCTCCAAGTCTTTGTAAGGAAAAACGGTGCTCATGGACCAGCTGTCTGGGGAAGGAATGGAGGCCATGGCTGGAGACAGACACACATAACTTTACGAGGACAAGGCATCAAGAGTGTGAGTACCAATGCAGGAACTGCCTTTTGATTTTTTACGTGAGAAGCTGAAGACAGTTAAGATGGGTGTAGCACCCGACTGTTTGTCTTCCGGATCCAATTTCAGCCTTTAACGCCTGCCAATGTAATCACATGAAGCATAAGAGAGTCGTGCATTTTTTCAAATTAGCTTTATGCAGAAAAAAAATGTCCCACCTGTAGCAATAGACACATGGGAAATGACAAATTATCTGTATTGATCTACCTCATGAAGTTGGTTCTAAGGTAATCGCCATGTAGCGAAGAGCAGTCTAAGGATAATGGCCTGGACCAACATTCCTCATGAACAATGCTTTAAATAATGCAGCACCATGACGTAGGAAGAATCATCCCCTGTGGATTTGTAACTGGCCAAACCAGGGCAAAGATACTGAAAATGTCAATTTTGGTAATGCTGGGAGGTTACATGTGCAATCTCCCACAGTTTTTTGCTCTTCAATATATCTGCAGCAGTCAAATGAAGCTGTCTCTTGTGTGTCGCTTATATCATGGAGAATCTTTTAATACATGGAAAGCTTAGAAACACTGGGCAATAAACCAATATCAAAACCTTAACATTTTTCTTCAAGCTCTGCGCAGTTTTGAAGGTAGTTTCTATTTCAGATCTGAAGAAGGGACTCGGGTGCTTCAGGACCTGGTTTGCTCTGACATATATAAGGTGATCTAAAAAGCTCACACATCATAACGGTCACTGTAGGAGCAGGCTACAACACACACACACTATTTAGCTCCAAAATTTATATTAGAGCTGTAATTACCACAGATAATTTTCTAAAAACTTCACCTTGGCAATAAATATAAAGAAACAGAAAAACAGATGTAACTCTAAGCAAAATGAATGGGCTTTTGTGAGTCAGTTCTGATTGCCTGGGCTTCCTTACTGTTGAGACTTACCTTGACCAAAGCTTCTTTCATGTTAAATTGTTTTTGCACTCAAATTGTTCTGTTTCTCTTCCCAGGTTATCTTCAAAGGAGAGAAAGGGGAAGGAAGAATTGGGGATATTGGACTAGATGATGTGGTCTTAAGGAGAGGACACTGCTCTGAAGAGCATTAGCAAAGACAATGGACCAGCACAGTTGTTCTCCTCTAGCCCTTCTCATGCTATTCCTACCAGGCTTTGAAACAGAATTGCATGAAAGAGAAGAAAAAGTTGAAGAGTTGACAAATTTGCAGTGGTGTGCTAAGTGCAGTCTCACTGAAGAACATGGAGGAGCATCTCCCAGGATTCAGGAACTCCAATCCCATGCTGGTTGTTTCTATTAATCCTTACCACTAAATCATATTTTATATGTAATAACTTTATCACCTGCTAAGCCTGGTGAGCGCTCATGCAAAGAGCACTTGTGAAAAAGGGAGAATTACAAATGGTGGCAAAAGAAAACTCCTGCCCAGCAAGTTTTAGTGTTAACTGGTAGTCTTTATCTTCCCATTGTGCTGCTTTCATTGATTAGATTTGGCACAGTGGGATTGATCTAGCTTCAGAGTCACCTCAGATTAATGGGAGCCTGGACCTGAACTTTGGCTTACTGCCACCGACCTTTGAAGAAGGGTTTGCTTCATATTTAATAGCGTATATTTTGGTGTTGCATCGGTATTAACAAGAAGCAGTTATAGAGACTAGGCTCTGCCTCCTGTAATATTGCTGCTGCTGTGTTTTGTGTATATGTGTATGGTTATAACATATTTATGGTTTTAATATTTACAGACTCTAGTTGCAAGGTAATTGGCAGCTGTGCTTTCTTATTGTACGAGACGGGAGTTCAGCATGTTCTTTGATCCCGCTGGTCATGCCAATAGTTACGTTACCAAAGTCAGTTAATGGTGCTCATTGAAAAACGCTGGTGCAGTTTTTCACATAATATGCTGAAGGTGAAAAGACCAAACCCTTAGATGTAAACCAGCATCTGATTAATGCTGTACAGGTTTGCATTTAGCTCAGGAGCAAGTCCCAAAGGGCTCTCAATCCTGCAAGAAACTCCTGGTTCAGTTGAAAACTGAGCAGCCTGGAGAAGATAATGTGCTGTGGCTTGTAAGTCCTCCCCTGTTGACCCCACCAGAAATGTTCTCTTCCCACAGGTGACACAAGCCAAAAGGGCAGCCACGTTAACAAACACTCCGTGAACAATTCAGACCATGAAATGCCTTCAGTGATCTTTGTTAAGCGTCCATATTCCACCCAACCCTTCTGTACATAATAAACACTTCAGAACTCAAATAGCTGTTAGACCTAGCTGGGACTAAATATTTATCAGAACTTTGGACTAATTTTTTAGTTATGTATCATGCGTGTGGTGTGCAGTTTCCCAGGGAATTCTGCTGTTTGGTTTGGGGTATTTGTAAACGAGGATCATCACCACCAATCATTGCTGCTAACAATTGAAATTTGACAGATTAATTGTAACATTGAAGAAAATGACAAAAGATTGATAGAATGTTGTTTAGTGGTGCAGCCTTAAAGCTTCAGAACTAGATGATCTTGAGGTCCTTCCCAACCCTAACTATTCTGTGAGTCATAATGTATATATAGAAGGAACAAGTCTCAAATCTTTTAAATACTTAAATACAATATAAAGTATATACCACTTTCATATCATGTTTTAAAATCATAATGAATAAATGTTCATGTTAAGCCTTGCACAAAGTCCACAGAGACAAAACTGCAAGACTGTTAGAGGTTGTATTCCCAGCCCCTTAGTACTGTTCTGAAAGGATTTCTGCAGTTTATCCCCTAGGACAAAGCAGGGTATGTACAGCAGAAGTTTCTTTGACCAAACAGCCTGCAAAAGTGTATCAGCAAACATTTTGCATAGGAAAAAAACCAACACATTTGTAAACATTTTTGAACTGTTTTGCTTCAAATATGATTGATTGTGATCTTTTTCTTATGTTACTTTGTAATATGTCAGAAATATTTGTGAATAGTTGAAATACCTTGTTCTTATTATAAAGTAATCAGTAAAGGAGGCTGTTACTTGTTACTAATTGGCAATCTTGTTTTCATTTCTAGATCAAAACTCTCATTCTTACTGCAGTGAAATGAACCAACAGATGACAAGTAGCTCTTGTTACCAGATTTAAAATTAAAAGTGTATTTCACTCTTTTCACTGTAATACAACAAGAGCATTATATGTATTATTTTATATGTATTATCCAAGAGGCAGAACGACAAATTTCAACCTACCTTTTTGTTAGGAACAGTCTCACAGGTAATTTAAGAGCTGCTGCAATACAAATTTTCCATTTTAGAAGAAGCAGCAGCTATCATAGTTCCACACAGTGCTCCACAAACTGTTCCGTTCTTTGGCATCTATCACGCTTCAGATTTTTGCTGCTTTAGAAATAGCCCTTAGAATCCCAAATTTGAACGAATTTGGAAGTTAAACTGAAATAAGTGCTCAGCTGACACAGGGAGGACTTGGGGTCTCTGTTTTACTTCGTCCTTACGATCAAACAAGTAACACCGTAAATCCTTGTGACACTGAAGCCTCTGCTGACAGGGATCAGCCTGAGACTGGCTCTCCAGGAGCTGCTCTGCTGTAAGTCACTCACCTCCGCAGCTGGTTGTGCCGTGGTGCTGTATGTGTCACCTTTCAGTGTTTCTGAAGAGTCAAGGTGAGGTCGGGTCAGTGGTTCTGCTGTGATGATCCTTCTCCAGCTCCTGCTGCTCCTGCCCCTCCAGGCACACAGCTCAGCCAGGACAGAGTAGACAGATTGCTTTCTTCATGTGAGCCCCAGGGAAGAGATGGGAATATGGCCCGGGGTCTTCCTGCGATGTAGGTTCTAACTGCCCTTCCTGCTTTGGGTTTTCTAAATAGGTAACTGTGCCAAAATAAATTCCTGCTTAAATACTTAGGCAAGCAGAAGAAATTACAGTAAATTAGCATGAAAATGCTTATGAAATGTACTGTATAGCCTCTTGCTAGCTTAGAATTTAATGTTTTTAATGACATGTTAAACTTTTATCCCCCCAAAAAACTTACAATAGCATTCCTTCATAAGTTACAAGTACCATGACCAGCAGCAGGGTGTGCATTTACTGCATTTGCTGACATCAGTGTGAGCTCAATGGAAGGGACTGATACAAACTTTTGTTTCCAAGTTCCATTCTATTTGGTCACCTCACCTATCACCAGAGCCATGTCATTAAGTCTCCAGTGAGTACTTGCAATAGAGCCTGTTCATTCTGGAGAAAAGCTGCCCTAGGTTTCCTTCAATAAATTGCATTGCACTTGGAGGTCAAAGCATTCATTTTAACGTAGTTGGAGACTGCAATAACCACCCTAATGAGAATCACATTAATCGTGAGAAGACAAGACTAAGTAAGCAGAAGAGTGCTCATGACAGCAGCCACCACCATCCTACACTAGTCCATGGAGAAAAGATGCAACAGCAGCACCTGCCTCTAAAGCAAGTGCCAGGCCTCTCTATACACACCCCATTACAGGCTAAGCCTCCCTGAAAATGAGGCACAGTAACTGTCACTGCAAGATATGCAACAAGATACACTACGGCTGTCTATCTTCAGGATTTTAATTGTGACTGTGGGAGTCATTCCTTGTCAACTGAGGCCCAGTTAAATCCTATTCCATTTTGATTTATTTTGATCTATACCTCAAACACCAAATTATCAAAGGTGTTCTGGTTGTTTAAATACTTTCTTACTGGCTGTGCATCCTGGTGTCCTGTAGTCATGTAAGGTTTTATGACTTCAGATTTTCCACACCAATAAAATGGAGATAAGTGATACATCAGTGTAAACCTGCAATTTCAGAATGAAACACCAGATATTCCAGTGCCAAGTTCCACTGGTGGTTTGAAAGAACACAGAAACCTCTTCAAGCTTTGAAAGTTAAAGCATTCTCAGAGCACACCTGCATCAAACTGACCCAGTGGTAAGAGGGAATGCATTTGCAATGTCTGGAATGCTTTATTTGGTTGAGAGGAAGAAGCCAATGGACTGAAGATCTTCACGGACCACAAAGACTGCTTTAACAGCACAGCCTAAAGGGTTCAGACACGAGCTCCATGTAGGTTTTCAAGACTGTAAGTCCAAAATTAATCCTATTCTAGTTGCTCTGCTTTTACCAATTCTCCTTATGCACTTGTATGATGTCTTCCAAGCCCAAACCTGTTCCCTTGTTTTGAAACAAACTGCCCTTTGGACAGTGTTTGTGGTTGTTTGGGTGGTGTTTTTGGTGTTTTTTTTTTTTTTTTTTTTTGTGTGGGTGTTTTGTGTTGTTGTTTGGTGTGGTGTTGGTGTTTGTGGGTTTTTTTTTGTGGTTTTTTTGGGTTGGGATATTATGCTTACACATGCTCGATACACATCCAGAGTATAGATCTATCCACAGAAATAATTCCCTGCTCTATAGATCAGGTGCTCCATCATTATTTTTCTTCAGGTTACTTCTCAATAGCTCTTAAGAATCAATCAAGTCTTTCTTCAACTTCATTCTGTAGTACATGGGCAGATTTTTGCCACTTAACCATTCTCCTGTAATTCAGCTGTTAAAGGACTCCACCAGACCAAGGAAAAAGCCTCATTGCAATCAAACCATTCTCTTGCAGATATCTCAGACACCACATTTCTAGAGCAAAAGGGCCATGCCTACAGCATCTCTGTGCTCAGCATACCAGGAAACACGGTGTGTAAATGCATATACTGTCCATTGTGTGCATACACACGTGTATTGTGCCCAATAGGCTGAGGCCAGTCTTATGTCTTTGAGCAAGGAAGCCAAGTATTTATCATCTATCTAGGACATGGAATAAGGATTCTCCTCTCTGTGACACAGCGAAATCCTGCCTTCCTCTGACCACAAGATACTGCAGCACTTCTCCAGTAATATTTGTTAACCTACTTGATGACATTTTACCTTCTGGCCAGGCCAGGAATAATCATCCTCCACACTCTTCTCCCAGGTTTTTCCTTGTACATTTCAACAGCCCACGTTCTCATTCCAGTCTCTCGTCCAGAATCCTTTTGATACTCATTTTGAGCTTGACTAACGCCTGGAAAGGCACAGTACAGTGTGTACTCAGGGAATGATTTCATTGTGTTTTCATGCAACACCAGCGCTGAAGTCTGAGATTGCTACTTAATGTGGGATTTCAGGGAGACACCATCATTGCTCTGGTACCCTGGCAGAAGGGAGAACCCAGCCACAGCTCCATTTCACGCCTTCATGAGAGGTGCGCCCTCCCTGCCACACTGCAGTCCTAAACCACATTTTCCTCAGACCCTGTGTCTCAGGTTGTCACACATCTGCTCCATGGTGGTTCTGCCAAAAAGAAGGACTCACTGCCAATTTGAGGTATGTTTTCACATTATTCTATTCCCAGATGAGCACATTAATACGTGTGTAGCACAAGTGCTCAGAAAGATAAGCAGCCAGACGTATACCCTGATATATGATTGGTAACAGATCAAAGACAACATCCAAGTTTTGAATCGAGGAGAAAAAAGCTGGCTGACTTAAAGGAACAAATCTCTTGCCTATTACTTCACTTGTTGGATCTTATTACCAGTATGTTGGGATGCCAGGTATAAGTAAACTTTCTCCCCTTTTCCAGACCTTTCCATGCAGATACAAATAGTAAGAATCGCACAGTGAAATGTACCCTCACATCCCTGGGTTCAGATCTAGCACAAGGGCAAGAGCTCCTCATCTGGGAGCTCACACAGCATGTGCCACCTCAGCTGGTGATAACAACTCGAGAGTCTTCAGCATCTTGACATCCAGCCCAATGTGAGTAGAAAATCAAACCCAAAAAGTCACTGAGCAGTGCCAGTTATGCTGTTAAATGAGGAAAGCACCTAGAAGACTGTCTGAGGTAAGAGATTTGATTCAGAGGGGTGCCCAAGGGAGACACTTTGAATTCCATCCTTCTGAAGTTCTAAGTTAGCTCAGGAAATGTTGTCATCCTACCTCAGCTTCTTGGACCAGTTGGAGGACAGAAGAAGTTGTGATCTCATGGGGCTCTTCAAAGTTTCCATGCTCAGATAAGGACATTTTGTGTTCTCTCTTAAGTATCAAATACACATGATTCTTATTAATAGTCTAGGGGGATCCCTTTAGTTATTGTGCCTTGGAGCGTATAAACAGGTCTTGAAGACACTGAAACTGCTCACTAATATTAATCACATATGTACATAACCCTATAGTGTACACCAATTTACATAGACACCAGGCACCTTTACTGCATAGTGTTATTAAACTGTGAGCAATTCACTCCCCCTCCTGTCATATGCCACTGGTTCTATCCTGATTATAAAAGGATAATAATTGGCTGAACTCCATTACTGAAGGCTGATTGCTAAAACTGAGTGATGTTTCATTACCCACAAGGTCCGTCAGGCAGTTTTGTGGGGTGTTAGGAGACCTTGGCATCCTGGCAGCTTGTCTGTGTATCAGCAAGCAGCTCTGGCCCGCTCACACGCTCGCGGGAGAACTCCCTGTGGGCTACTCTGCCAGCTTTTGTTGGAGCAATTTGTTTGCCAAATAAAGATGTGTGACTGGGGCTTGAAAAAGAGTATTTCATTAATATGAAAAATAGGCAGAGAAGTATGTGGTAGATCAAGGGGTGCCTTCATCACCATATGGCCTTTGATCACGGTTTTGTCAGAGGCATGAGCTGTGCTGCTAAAGACACTGGGCAAATTCAAACATTCACGTTCCCTGAGGTAGGTAAGGAGGAGATTTTCCTTCCCTGACGGGCAATTCTGCTTCCCTCTTAACAAGGGACCCTCAACAGAGGAGACCCATTCAGTACCACCCTCTGCACCAGCTGCTCCAACTGAAATCCCCTGCTTACTGCAATGAGGTCCTAGCAGGCAGGTAGCAAACTGCACAAAAAACCCAAATAGTGGAATAACAAAAGCATGTGGCAAACAGATCTGAACTATGACAGGTGAAACCACAGGAGGCGCAAATGGGAAACACAAGCAATCCTGCAACTGCACTCACCGGTATGGGACTGCAAA